CACGACAGACTGTTTTAATAGCAATGCTACGGTTTAACCTCCGACTCGAAGCAAATTTTGTGGTGCACATGAACACAATAGCTCCAACTTCACTACGACTGCAAAATTTATGCAACGGCCGCTGTTTGACCTCTAGGTCAGGTCCAGCCTTCAGGCACCTCAAAACACATCTGCGTTGAAATTCGTGAATCTACTTCATTACATTGCGGTGTTGAAAGCATGCCTGAGCATGCCGTAAATTCCGGTCTAAGACGTGCCTATACTATCCAAAGATCGCGTGTTACGTCAATGACAGCTCTCACTAATTTAAAAAGTATAGCTATGGCCTGCAGGTCAGAACGATGTTTCAGTATCCAAAACCCATCCATAACGAAGAGAACGAATCTACGAAGTATCTATCTTCTAAATCATACAATGAACTATATTTTACGACCTATACTTTTATAATGAACTATATCTTATGAGCTATATTTTACTATTATTTTGGAGAGTTTCTTCCAAGGCCGATTTAGCCCGCAGGTCTTGTTCCAAAAACAAGCCACTATTCTGAGGTGCAATGAGCACCCACGATGCAACGCTACATCGCTAAATGTTGTCCATAAACGGTCTGCGGGCAGAACCAGACCATGTGTCGCCTCTCACACGGCTACGGCTGTCTCTGAGTTGACGTGCCTGGTGACAAGGCGCCGGCCAGGGTTTTATTAGTCACGTGTCGCCAGTCGGGGACTATCCCTATGGTGGGATAATCCCCGACTGGGGACTATCCCTATCCGCTCCATCCATAGTCGACTGTTGACGTGTATCGTTTTCGAAAGTACCTAACGTGCTACAATAACGTATTTTGGTTGATGCGTTGCTTGTTACTCTTTAGAACACGTTACTAATTATTTCGAATTCGTGTTTCTTTGCGCACTGTCTTGTGTGGTTGTGATCCAGTATGATAAAGCGATTGGTTATTTCCTTCATTTGTGATGAGATTATGAAGCAAAAAATATCTCTCCTGTCGGCGTTTAGTGTAGCTCATAACCTCTACTACCTCAGAAGGTTACGCAACATATCTTACCGCTGAGTTGTGCTACTTTGACTAACCAGTTTCTTGGGAAGGACCAGGCGAAAGTGAACGCGGTTTCTTGGCTAAAAACATCTACATTTAATAGAATGAATTCCCAGTTTAAAAAAGTGGTTCACGTTTGTATGGCGTTTGAACGGAAAAAGCCACCTGGAAGATCATTCAATGCAGTTCACAGCCCTGCCCTTCCTAAGACCTAAACCCCTCTAGTTTCTGAGCTACACATCCGCGAAGATGTGCAGACTGTGTAGGGATGACCATTTCAAGGTCACTCAGGCGTCCGTGACGCCATAGTAACTTGATCTAAATTCTGTCATTCTACAATCCATGCGGCAATCAAGGCCAATACAAAATTGTCGAGTCATTCATATCTGGCGTTCGGGAGCATGATTTCCAGATATAACGGCCCTCAAACGTCTCCCAATCGATGGTATGGATGGATGGGTGGGTAATGGATGGATGGATAATGGATGGGTACGATGTCAGCCAAACAATGACATGTTAAGCATGCTTACTAAGCAGAGACATTCTGTTCACTAGAGCAATCTTTGCCACTAAAAAGCGTACCAATAGTCATATGTGAGCTCATTTGATCTTACCTCATTCTTGCTTCAATATTTTCATATGTGGAGCTTTTCCTTTAAAAGCGGACGAAGCAAGGCTATCTAACGGGTCGAAGTAAAAACGCACTCGGTTTCAGGCAAAGTTCAAAAAGATAGCCACGTACCGAGTAGACATTCCTACCATAGGCTGTTGATTTGTAATTTTTCAGTGGGTATTAAGAGAAAAAAGGCAACTACATCGCAACCGTAATATAGATCACCGCTGCCACCTCCAAGCGGCTCCAAGAACCCCCGAGCAGGGGAGGGAGACGCGTCGTCCGTGTGACGGACTGTATGGCACCTCTCCATTAACGTCAGATCGTGCTGCAAACTCTAGCGAGTGGGGTCTCTGCTGTGTCATGGGAGCTAGTCTTCTCCGAGCTGTAAGGCCTTCAATGCCCTGCTTAGCTGTGGACAAAGTTGGATCTCGTGATCTATTGTTCGTTGTGAAAGCTCAAATACAGAATGCCATTTTACAGTATAGCTTTTACCTAAGGCACTTGGGTTATGTTGAGCTCCGCGAACAGTTCGCGCCCATCGCACTGTCGAATTGTCATCGATCCCATATTTCGGCTGGCATTGATCTTGATGTAAGGGTACGACCTTGAGCCATGTGTCGCAATCATCGGCCAGAGGCAGGCGATGGGTCATGATCTCGTTACTAATTTTACATTATCTGTTTTTCAAAGTTTAAGTATGTTTGAAAATGTGTTTGGTCTCTCCCGCCTGTAAGCCGTTTAATCGGACAAGTTGAGGCAATATTACGAAACACATACTTTGCAATTTTAAAAGAAAATGATGCATTGGCCTAGATCGGATGGCACGAAGTCTTAATCGCGGTTTAGTACGACTTCTTAACGTGGAGTGAGATGAGGGTGAGATAAAGAGTGGTGCACATAATTCGAACATTTTTCGTATGTTCAAAATAATGCAGATGTGCAGCTGCTCTTTCCGGGATCTTATTCGTCAGCAAATGGTAGTTGGAAAGCAGGTTGCAAGGCCAGCCAAGTCCCTGTAGACACTACCAAACGAATGGAATGTTAGAAAATGCAACCCAAAACGTCATGATCACCATTTGGAGACAGGTATCATCCGAATTTCATCTTCGGAATAGGAGGAGCATGTCAGGTTTACTCTCGAAAATGCATGGAAAATTACTGGACAAGTTCATGCAAAGCAGTTTGGCCTTGTTCAATGCGGCGTACTTCCCAAAGCTGACAAATATGGGACACCCTTTCCTGAATTGCATGATCTTTTCAGGATAACGAAAAAACATGCTTTATTATAAAAAACATGTTTCAGACCGTTTACAAAGTATGCTTATGGCAGGAGATATGTCCCAACTGAAACAGCACAGTGTCAGGTGCGAATGTCTCACTTAAAGCGACCTGCGCATCGGTCAAGTGGTGTCAGGGCCCCTAACCATTGTTCAAAATGTCAATCGTTATGCTGTCAATCTTTCATCAATCTTCACTGTGTGGGATGCACTGCGCATTCCATGTAACCCGCTACGCTGCGCAAGATCTCTTGCTGGGCCCACCACTGGCACGGTCTTGTGCCCAACCGGTATCCAGCATTTCTGCCATATGGGGCCAAGCGGGATTCCAACTGGAGCCTGGCGCCTGCGCAGACCACATCAGTACCCTGATATTCTACCAACATGCGCCCAGCTGATGCCCAGCTATTCCGCTGGCGGACAAAAACTGGCTGTAACTAGGCCGCGGCACATCACACAAACGTTACAAAGGCCATCTGGGGCCGTGCTGGGCATCCTGTCACCGCCCACCCAGTCTTCCCGTCTGAGGCCCCGACTGGAGTCACGGTAAATGCTGGCTGGGCCGACGTGGGCGAGCTCATCGGGCATTGAGCGAGCGAGCATCGAGTATACGCACACAAGCATAATCGCGTGGTTGCTGTACAGCTAACTCAACTGGCAACGTTTTTTCTGGTGGGAGTTTCATTTGCCACATGTCCAAACTGAAGCGGGTGAGGGTGACTCTCCCTTCAGAGGTACAACAGCTTGGGACAGTGTTTCCCAGAATTACAGTTGGCCCGCATTGCGGATGTTTTGAAACGAGGGAGACATTCTCAACAGGAGGGCGTCTGCCTAAGCGTATTTGAGGACCATGTTCTGAAATGGTGCGTGCTGAGCGGTAATATTTTGTTTGCCATTAGCCCAAATGCATATGTTTTGTCGATGAAATGTTAATATGATGGTATTGAGAACATGCATATAAGCCAGTTGTGATAGCTATATACATTTTGGACGCTTTATTCTTGTTAAAATACTCATGAACATACGGCACAGAGAGCCACCATTAGGGCGGGCAGTACAGGAACGCTGAGTATTTTGCGTTTTGCGGATAGGCGTTGTTACCTCTCCGTTATCTGTATATGTAATGCGTATATGCTTTCGTCTGTTTTGTGATAGTTATATAAAATGTTTGCGCTATACCGGTGTTACAAAAACTGATGTATGTAGGCATGTTATTTGTGTTAGAACAGTCATGAGAGTCCTTGAAATCTGCACAGATCCGATTATACCGACTTGGTCTAAAACCATCACTCTGGAAAATGTCTAATGAAGGATGAAACGTTGGGATATGTAAGTAACACCAAGCCATGCAATATTGAAATGTATATCTCATTTGTATCATGAGCTTTGGTGCTATTTTTAAACAAACATCGAGAAAAAGCACAAGCTGCCGTCGGATTTATCGAGAAAACACCCAAAAAGATCATCAATACACAGGGCGCTGTGACCTTGAGTAGCAAAACATGTGTAAAGAATAATCTGCTTCTTAAGATTACAATCAGAGAGAGAGAGAGAGAGCGAGAGAGAGAGAGAGACGATGAGAGGAGAGAGAGAGAGAGAGCGAGAGAGAGCGAGAGTAGAGAGAGAGAGAGGCGAGCGATAGAGAGAGAGAGAGAGAGGAGAGAGAGGAGAGAGAGAGAGAGAGAGAGAGATATATATATATATATATATATATATATTCAGGTCTGCAAGAGATAGCTCGGAATGGTCAAGCTCCAGATGACGGGGTCGCTGCAATTTTTTAGAGGCCTCCAGCACATCAGGTTTGAAATCGGGATTCAATCCAACGCTCTGTTGTACGTTCCGGGAGGTGCAAACGGGCAAACCTGCAATGGTCTAAATGTACACAATCAGGTCAATGACCATATCTGACCGTGGTGCTATAAGATGTCCGGAATTCGTGCGCTGTTGCATTGCCAATATTGCTGGCAAGTGTCACGTTGGACCCCACTTTGATCTGACATGTTCTTGTAGAAGCCGTCTCAGCCATTGATCTGATAGGTCCAGGATCGGTATGTCTCCGGGTGCGCTGGATATCATGAGCAATAAAAACCTAGGAATTTAGTGAAGGGAGCGAAGGCGGCTCTGCGGCTATGCCAGCAAGAGTCTACCGGGACTGATCCGCCCCTCTCCGTCAGTTCAGGGCTTTGAGCTTTCAATTCACTGCCAACTCCTTAGCTTGCAAACGAATTTACCGTCTTTTTGTCTGCTCTGCCGGCTGTCGCGTTACAGTTACCGAACTTCACATTAGCCCTCTGCCGACAATCAGTTACATCACATGCAGAGATAACATGGCCAACCTGCCTACCTTCTCACTCCTATTCCCTCACTGGCGGCCGGCCAGCTGGTACTCCACAGACTGCGCTGCGCTAACACCCCCGACCGTCACCCGACACCGGGGTCATCTATGGCCTTCCCGTGCCCTGAAGCCCGCGCCGCGGCCTGCCGACAGAGTGCGGAGGAGAGCTGCATGGCGACGCTGGCCAGCTCACCTCGCCCGGCTACCCGGCTCGGTACGACGCCGACCTGACCTGCACCTGGGTCATCACCGGGCCCAGGAGCATCACCCTGCGCGTCTGGAACTTTTCGCTGGGGATGTCCGACACGGTGGAGGTCTGGTGAGTACATGATACGGCGCCGTGTTTTTATCTGCGGTGCGGTGGAGGGTATGTTTGGTCAGTGGTTGCGATGAAGACCTAACGGGTGCGAGGCGCGACACTGAGCTTGTATCATACGGCATCAACATAGTTGATGTTGGAACATGGCTGATAATCATGGAACATGGTTATGGTGTTTAACTTGCGCTGAACATCACAACCACTCGGGCGATCACGACCAAAACTAGAGGGCGGTGCTCCAGTGGAATACCAATGCGCCGCTCTTTTCGATACGACACAACACAGAACCGTTAACTTACAAATAATGTGCCCTTTTTGAAAATGTCGACTGGCATGGGAAATCAAACCACCACGGTAGCTGACCGCACGGCCGATCAGAATCAATTGCTACCGAAGCTGCCACTCATTCTTAACAATCATGCAGTCAACTGAATGAATTGTGCGGGGTTTTGGATTGAAATGGCCAGTTTGAAGATCATTCGGCGCAGTTCATGGCCCTGCCCTTCTGAAGACCAAAAACCCTGTAGTTACTGAGCTGCCCCCCCCCCCCCCCCCCGTAGATGTACATACCATTTCGTGCAAACTATTTTAAGGCTACTCAGGCATGCATGACGCCGTTGCAATAACATTAAAATCCTGCTTCCCCGCTGGCCATGCGGCGATCAAGCCCAAGAAGAAAATTATTGGGGAGCCGTTCCGATCTGGCGTTCGTGAGCACGATTTCCAGATATGGTGGGGGTCAATTGGCTCTCAATGTTGAACAAGCTGTGCAAGTTTCTATCATGACTGCCTATTGCTCGTTTGGATTAGAGCTCTTTCTGCCAGTAATGACCATTTCAGGACTATGGATGAAGGAGAATGGGTAACGATGGGTCAGGACCACATGCGCCTGAGGTCCAACCACCGGGCCTTAGCCCACGCAGGGGCTCACACCTCTACGGTATGCGCTTGGCGTCCGGTTCGAGTTCCCCCTCCAAGGAGCCTCTAGGCCCACCCATGACTGGCGCATGCAGCCTGCCCCGGACAAGCGGGGAACGGTTAGGATGCATGATAAAGCAAGAAAGATGATGAAGGGCTCAGATGCTAGTCATGAATCACGTTTTGTGCTAGGTCATGTACGAAGTTGGACATAGTCGCCAGTCATTATGGAACTAAGACTAAAAAAGAATAGCGCCATAACCGAGTATGTGAATACGAACAAACATCTTAAATTTGCGGATAAATATACAAGAACACCACGAGAAAATATCAGAGCGCAAGCAAACAACACAAGACAAAACTCTTTAGCACTGCAAACATTTTCAGCACCGCCACGGTCATCACTGGGGAGATTCAAATATTACAAATAAGTGCTAAGGTGGCAATTTTTCACGACTCGTTTGGTAGCACCTCAACACCGTGCAGATGTTCCATGGCACAATAAAGAATTACGTATTGAGGAGCATGCTTTGTAAAAATATATTTGTTGTCTAGAGCATTCCCTTCCGCTTAAAAGCATACCAATATTTATAAGTTAGCTCAGTTGATCACATCTGGTGCTTGCTTCAATATCTTCAAATGTGGAACATGCTCTATGGGACTTGAATTGCCGTTCTTCTCTACGGCGTGTCGATTAGAACAGAAGTGAGTTGGGCAGATGCAAGGCTTTTCTTAAAAACGGATGTTTTGCCAAAACATCCGTTTTGCAGGAAGCATCATGTTAATAATGAAAGATCATGTTAATTTTGGGCGAGCATATTTTTTCATTTACAAAGGGGGCGGCTACACCTGGCCATCTCAGCATTTCTGAACGGGAATATTGTTCCCGTTCCAAAAATGTTCCATATTTGAATATATTAAAAAAAAAACATCAGATTTGATGAAATAAGCTTGCTCCGAATTGTTGATAACTATTGATATTGATAAATATTCGAATTTTCGAAGCTGAAGGGTTGCAGTCGCACCTTTCTCTAATACACTGAAAGGAGAATTCTGTGCACAATTTACCGTTATATGCTTTGGTCATGTGTGGTGTATTTATGACCATATTTACAAGAAAAGAGCATTCACAAGATGTGCGGCTATTTCACATTCGTTTACACGCAGGTTTTCCACACAAAATAATGAAATCGATAAAACAAATGCATTTCAGTTAAAGTCGAACAAAACATGACATTCCTGCACACATTATTTAAGAACGTGGTTAACAACCTTTCCCCAAGTACGCCTAGCCAGACGCCCTCCTGCTGAAAAACATTTTCCCCGCTCGTTAAAAACAAGCAAAAAAACTGACGGGATTGACCCATTTGAAGAATCCAGAAGCCGCCAAAAGATACAGTTCTGCCCATATTTTGAGTTCATTGCAGTGAAGGAACCATACGTTAGATAATTGCGTAGAACAAGCCGACGGCGCTTTTTATTGTGTAATGGTTCAGTGGACATTTTCTAAGCCTATAGCAGCCAGGGGCTGCTCCGGCTTTTTCTGGATTGTACAAAGCTTTGTGAACGTAGGTGAAAGTGAACATAGCTTGTAGATTGAAAAAGCTCATACATTTGCATTGATATGACCAACCCATGCTCCTTCGGAAATGTTCGACCTTTGTTCAGAATCGAGAAGTGGAAAATGTCATATCAGTTTCGATTTTGTGCATTTGCAAATCTTGAAACAAATCCCCGACGCCCGGCGCTGCAGTCTCTGTAGGCCGCGCGGCATTAGACCGTGGTAAACACGAGATGGTCAATGGGCAAACGAACATGATAACGTTTTTGAAATAAGTATATTGCACGCTTAAAAGGTAATCCAGGCGCATGTTTCATATGTGCATTTTTAGATTTACAAGAGGAACAGATTAATGTAACGGAACGAATTAGCACTGCACAGCGACATTTGGAAACGTGCTGACGAACGACAGATATGAACAGCTCAAAAATTACATTTTGCTTGACCTTAAACGCCGCATGGCCAGTGGAATGGCAGGATTTGAATAACGTTGTCATGGCGCCCTGGATGTCTGGGTGGCCTTGAAATAGTCGCAGGAAATGGTCTGCAGATCTTTGAGAGCATGTAGCTTCGAAATTAGAGCGTTAAAGGCCTTAAAAAGGCACGCTATGAACTGCGCCGAGTGTTCTTCAAAACGGTTGTTTCAGCTTGAAACCCCACACAAAAGTGGAACACTCCCACGATAATTGGTGTCCATTTTTAACGTTTTCATGACTGTTTGATGAAAAAATCAATTTGTTTTTAGTTTGAAACTGGAAAAGTCAGTTCATGCTTCACAAAGAAATCTGCATAACCATAACCTTATTAAATTTGAAAACGCTGCCGTTCCCGAGCCCGAACGAAATAAATCGACGCGACATTAGCACCGTGATGCTGTCGTGTAACGGGGAAGTACCACCAACGGTCAGCTGCATGACCGCCAAGCGCCGCCACCTATCGATGATTGGATGTGATGTCCTGCGCGTTACGACGCAACGGGGCTGATACAGTTTAACAAGTTGCACGACCATTACAAACATACGCTGGTTAATTATTGGTGTCCTTTCTGACAGGTGTTTAATGTGAAGCACGCCCTCGAAGGACGAACATTTTCGGCGCGTGCTCTAGGTTTCGCTGTCCCAATGAGTAAGAAAACCAGACGCTCGAAGACCACGGTGGCTGCGACTCTGATCAGAGCTAACCGACGCTGCTACAGGGATGGCGGCTCCGACCAATCACCGTCGCTAGGGAACTTCAAGTTCTGGTCCATACCGACGCTGATTGGTCCGTCCAGTGGACACCAGCTGACCGTTCGCTTCGTCTCGGGTGCATATAGCTTTGCCGGCAATGGCTTCGACTTCACCTGGGCTGAGACAAGGACCTACGGTGAGCCCAGATGCAGCAGCAAAAATGGTCCATGCAGCTACAGAGTATGTGACGATAGCGTCGCTGAGAACGTAAAGATAGTTATATTGTTATTCGTGGCGTGAAGTGATGATACCATGCATCGTAGTTTTATACAGATCACCTTGTTAGTTCAGAAACGGCGTACTCTGTACATTAGTTACAGAACACCATATACTCGGATTGAAGTTTTAATAGTTTCATAATTAAGGTAACCGATTCGGTCCGAGGCTCTTCAATGAGTGGATTGCTGGGATCAGAGCCCACACTAAGCATTGCTTGTTGCGGGAGCCCCGATCCCATCACCTGATCATGACATTCCAGGTCCACAGCAAAATGTAGTGGCGAAAGTTTAGGGTGGCGCAGTGCTCAGCACGGTCCGTTCTGTTCTTCGACGCCACCTGGCCTAAGCGCGGTCGCTGCCACCGGCTGCGTGCCATCCCAGGCAAGGTCAAATAGCGGGCACCTTAAGCGCCTGGAACCAAACCCGCCACGAGTGAGTGGATCGGATGACAGGGTCTTTAACCAACTGAGACATTTGGACGGACGAAATTTAAGCTTGTGAATCTTTACTCGATGACTTTGTTGCTAGTGCCTTCGCCATTCATAGCTCCGGCTGCTTGGAAAAGCTGAATTCACTATGTCCAATTGTATTTGCCACAATGACTTAAATTCTTGAATGTTCCTCATGCCCAAAGATTGGGATAATACACGACAACGTTTCCAATGACTTCCACATCAATCCCTCTGTAATCTGAAATGAAATTGTATGGTGGTCTTATGTCGTAGAGGCGTTGGGCGAATCTTGTGCCTCTCCGAGCAATGGCCAACGAGTTATAGCCTAGGGAATTTGCTGTAGCCCACGTTGCAGGAATATATTTTGTGGCCACTTTTTCCAGCCACATGATCCAAATCGGTCAAACTTATACGATAACATCGATTAACTGACCGTGATGCAACTTTCACATTTCAACTATTAAGCTCTTATTTTTGACCTCGTGACCTTGTGTTCTCCTCTTACATGACTTACCTTCACATGAGCAAATCAAAAGTTGTGATTTTAACCCAAGCCCAGTAAGTTTTGTCTGTTTACACGATTGGGATGCTTACGCCTTTAATACGTGCCCTTTTAAGCTTCTAAACAGCAGGTGTAAATGACGCTGGAAATGGCACATCCGTACACCTTTGGAACAGAAAAAGATTTTGAGGTGCAGTAAAGGACATTCCATTGGATTCTGAGCGCGCATCTGAGCGAGCGATTCTGAGCGCGCATTTTGCCGCAATGTTTGTGATGCTAGGTCAAAGTTTTGGTCAAATTAGAGATCAAATGGATATAATTGGATGATATTTGCAATTTGCTCCCGTGATTACATTTACGTTATATATATATATATATATATATATATATATATATATATATATATTAAATATATATATATATATTATTTTATTATATTATATATATTATAATTATATATATATATTATATTATATTAATTATATATATATATATATATAAATAAAATTAAATTAACTAATCGCGTATTGCGCATTTGACCATCGACTTTATAGTGCATTGTACAAAACGATATGTCACAATGGCGCGCGTGCTGCTGAACCGTCCTATACCGGAACTTTTCTTTTATAATTCGGAGAAATCCTGTTTTAATGGATGAATAAGTTTACGCACAGTGGTGCAAGTAACTGTGACACAAAGGAAACGGGATGATCCAGCGTCAGAGACCGGCGATGACCGAGTTTTTACAGCGTGATCGGACATACACACAACTGATATGCTTCTGATGAGTCTGACAATTCCTAAAACACACTTTCCATCGGTCAGAAGCTGTTCGACAGGACATTTTTGGTTGATGGAACCGAGGCCGCATTGATGAAGCCGTTGGCTTCATATTTAGCTGCATCGCCTCGCGTAAAATTAGTGCCGTTATATAATGACTGAAACCAAAGCTCTGCGATGCCAAGTCCTGGGATAAGACTAGCAGTACGCGCCGTGGTGGCACAGCGTTTTGTAGATCAGGCGACGTTCGCGCATTTCATATTTCAGGAAAAAACTTGAGGTGTTAAAAATTTGACTTTGTGGTCATTTTTGCCGGCATATGAAGATGAATCGCTGGAAACGTGGCTGGCATAGCTCGGCAATTTTGGTCTTCTCCAGAACTGGCTTCTTGGAAACGGAGGAAGGATCAAGGCAAGCAGGAACTCCACGGCTTCAGAGTCAGCTGCGTGCGAAGTGCACGCTATCCCGCTGATATGCTTATCGGCATCCAGGACTTCTCGCAGGTTGAAAATCATGTCTTTTCTGTGAGTACGAATATGTGTGCAAGATAAAAAAGATGTAGGAATGCAGCAAATACCAATGCAGAATACAATAGCATTATTGCCATGATTATGCAATTGTGATTCCTCGCAGATCCCAATTCGGGGGAACGCATGCTGCTGCATGTTTTGGTGGTGATGGCGTCCACTGCCAATTATGTTAATAATAGCATCGAAAATGACGTAAGACATAATCGTGTAATTTTCTGTGCAGTGCAGAATTGGCGTCAGGAATTGATTAAGAGCGGATTTCATGCATTCGTATGATTTTCAAAGTCATTCTTAAGTCGGAAGGCAGTGCCTCCACTTGCCATTCTGTGTGTGTTTTGTTAGCAAATGCTTCCCTACACATATTAAAAATCCCAGAAACATCGGATAGCTTCCTATGTTTTTGACCTTTGACTATCCCGAATCCAGAAATACTAGGGACACGTTTATGGTAACAAGACACGTGCAGAGGATGCCTCATTAGCTGCTCAAAATTTAGGCGCGGTTGCACGACATGCTGAGGAGGAACCCTCAGAAAACCTTAACGAGCACCCCCATCAGGGCGAGGTTCACTAAGAAGATGTGAGAGATACAGAAAGCAATACACAACAACTAGTTGCGCAAAAACCATGCCAATCATCTGAGCAGAAATGTACATTTTGAGTGTTACAGCCACAACACCGTGCCCTGTGCCACAGTTCAAACCATATGTCCTTTAAGATCAGATCCGTGCTTAGTTCCTTGTATTCAAAATCTCAGTTAGCTGTTTGGTATATGCTTTCCTGTTGAAATGTAAATTTCATGCCTAGTCAGTTTCTGAATGGCCATATGAATATGATTGTGCCTGGCTTAAGATTGCGCTACATAAGTTTTCCCGCGTCAAACGTTGCCAATATTTGATTGCTTATTCTACTGGCCGTTCAGGTAAAGGTGGAATATATTGTTCCTACAGCTGTATTGTTTTACCAGAGCTGATATGGCCTGAGCTCAAATGATGCTTAGCGAGATGTTGAATTTGAAATTCAACGACAATTTCTTTGGACATAATCTTTAGACAGCTCTGGCCAGTTCATTAATAACCACAGATTAATGAGAATTTGAAAGTGGATTACATTCAAAATTAGATCCAAACTGACATGTCAACCATATCTATAATTTGTATCCACTTCAGGTCCGATGGGCTTAGCCGTGTTGCTGAACATTCCAAAATAAACATAAAAATATTGCGTCTGAGCTCATCTGTCTTGCACCAGTGTGTTGGTTTGAAGTGATGGTGTTACCTAACATACGGGTTTTCTCTACAAGCACCACATTTAAAATGTAGTTGTCAGTAAAATGCTTGTAACACTCACATAAGTTATAAAGTGCAGCCGCAAGGAACATACAATATACATAAGAGCATTTCAGTGGCCTTTTCGTCGCTCCATCGAGACAAGGTGAGCAAACAAATGTATTTATGTTTTGGTCACAAGCCTTTGCCGAGACAGTGCACGAATAAGATGCCGGCAACTCCCATCTGATTTTTCAAACTTTGGTTTAGACAAGTCCAATGTTAGCGGGTTACCAGCTCTGGGGAGACCATACAGGCAGTAATTGTCAGGCATGACTCACATCAGGGCATAAATCACATCAGGGCATTAATCACACTCACAGAAGCGGCCGTAACGAGCGCTCCGCGGTAAAGTCTAGTCACTAACTGCTTATACAAATGTATGATAAATAAGTCAACGACCAGATCCTTACGTGCAAGGTTCACCATGATGATTTGCCCAGCTTTTCGACATTTTTGCTCAACTTTCCTGGTTGACATCTGGTGGTCTGACGAGGCACACTTCTACCTTCACGGAGAAGTCAACGGCTTAAAATACAGATTTGTCAAGTGAAAACCCACCAGAAGAGGTTCTGCAGGTTACCTTACACTCACTTAACTGTAGATCGTGCCGTGTCACAAGGGAATAACACACAGCCTTTGTCTTCGAAGATTGCGCCGAAGGAACTACGGTGATAAACTTTTATCATTCCCTTATCTTGCTACAACGCTCCCAGCGGCTTGCAATGCCAAGTGTGTCGACATTATCAGCTCTTAGCAGTTCCACCAAAATGACGCAACGGTACGCGCTCCGCGAGCGGCGCTGGCCTGGCTCCCAGAGCAGGTGGGAGGTCGCCTGGCATACCGGCTTGCCACCGCTAAATGGCCTGCGCATTGGTCCGATACGCCCCCCTCCCCCTCCCCCCAAACTGAATTTGCATCTGCGGGGGTACCTCGAGAGGGTCACGCACGTAAAAAACCGCGGGCAATTAGACCGGCTTAAGCGGACGATCAATATTGTGGTAGGCGGGATATCATCGTACACACGCGCTCGCGTGGCCAGCCAGTCGGAGGGGCGTGTCACAATGTATGTTGTATCGACATGAGGAAACTGAAGTCACACACCGCGGGCATGCCGGTCAGCGTATCCTGATACCACCACTACGACTAATCGAGCTGTGCTGTAATCTGAAGATTATTGTCTGATATTAACATTTGGGTGCCTGACAACGGCAGCCGTGTTTTCATCATTCCAGGATAGTAGGGGTGTCTTTTATGGATACTATGAAGCAATCGACCACACCATGATCTTGCAATATCCCGCTAAACTTCAACATAACAGAAACACTGCTAGAATTTCAATTTTCCAGCCATTGGGGTTTCCCTAAGATGCTGTCAGTCGTTGCAGCTGCTAGAGTTGCAAGTTTTCTTTTAATTTTTGAATTTTTTGTCCGACAGGGATGTAGTGAATGGGGGAGCCAGAATAGGCTGACAACCATTACTTTTGAAAAACGGCGTTAACCCTTTCAAGATAGCGCCAATGTTGAGTATGCATTTGTTGAAAACAAATAGCAAAAAATAGATCTCGGCTCCCAAACTGGGAGAACTTCCAGTATCTCAGCTGTATGATGTCAACAAACCGTGAATTGAGATCATTATATCATACCTGATACTGAATTCAATATCTTCAAATGTGGAGCATTCCCTTTAAAGCGTGTGGTCGCGTGAGCGCCAAATCAGTGAGTCCATACCTAACGGGTCCATGATTGTATGTCAGTAAATTTGTACACGTTACGCTCTAAACTTGTATATATTTTTGCATGTTATGAACAATCGTAGGAGTTATGGACAAAACAAATGTGGTAGATACTTAGCACCCAGTGTAAATGCAGAATTTGCACAAAGCATACTGACTTCATATCCATGTAAGTGCAATAAGTATTAAATATGCGAAAACAGTGCCGCTATGTTTTGGATGGCAATCTTTCGTCGGGTGATTACTGCTAGTTGGTCGTAAGTCACGTGATGAGCGATTGTGTTACGAAGTACAGTGACATCATTTTGGCATATTTACCATTTTTGTGTTTACATAAGTCTGGAGACAAGATATTTGTACCTGATTAAGTACGAATCAGCCCAAGGAAGGGTTATAGCTTATAGGAGAAATACAAGCAGAACTCCTCAGCCTAAATGAAAACCGCCTTTGATACATGAGTGACTTACAAATAGTTTGAAAGCCAATCCGGTTAGGTAATTTTACTAACAAGCATATTTATATCTCAAGTATAGGATAAGATTTGTGACGTAAACGACATTCGAATTGTCATGACAGTATAGCAATGACAACTTGTCGCCTTAATTTTGGGCTGGGAGGGCGTTAGGATGCAATGCAGCACAGCCAACACCAGAAGCATCGTAAAAATATGCTGTCACAATGCGGTCTCATGCTTATTGCACCAAAATAGTTCTCGTACAGCCCTCGTACTTTGCAGCCTCACGCGCCAGCGTCTCGTTCGGTATCTGACAGATTGCACGTGCAGGCGCGCAATACTCTGGCGGCATAGCTACAGCGATGGACCCGAACTGAATGTGCCATACCTGCCGACTGTCGCCGAGCTGGCGCTGAAGTGTGGCCCGTGTCGCAGGGGCTTGACAGCCTGAAGTGTGGGCGGATGGAGCAGTATCCGCAGCTGCAGCTGACGCTCACCGACCGCATCAGTGTCCCCACGTCTTCGAACTCGGTGAGAACTCTACGCCCCCACAGACAAAAGGCTAGCCGCTGCACTCTCACCGGTGTGGAAACATGCCCATGCAGGAACACGCCACCGCGCATGCGGCCAGCGCCAACGTCCGTGTCCATGCTGCATTCGGTCCAGCCTTGCTTTGGCGGCCTGTTGGCTTAAAATAGCAGCCTCTCAGCTCGTGTAGCGACGTCAGTGGTGGTATGATCCGGCCTTATCAATCGGGGACGTGCTGTTCGTGTGAGACACCCTACCGCGTTAAAAACGGTCGTATTGACTCGCCGGTTTGATGTCATACACGCTGCTTATGCAGCTGTAAGTCAGCAAATGGGCGCAAAACTGCCTGATTGCACAGGGTCGATCGACTGTGTACTTAACTCCGCCTCCCCCTCAAAGCAGAGCTGGTAGCCAGATAATGGCTCGACCGTCCACTGCGTCCGGACGCGCCCCCCGGACACACCGTCCGGACACACCGTCCGGACGCACCGTCCGGACGCGCCCCTCGGACACAGCGTCCGGTGTCTCGCTCATCACTGTCTGCCATCATTATGAAGAATATCAGGCCTGATCAGACAATCATTGCTGGCCACCAGCGTGCTTGCTAGCACAAGGCCTCTGTCCTAGTCTGACCACTCACCCCTGACGCGACCTTGCTGCCAGGCGGAGAACCTGTGTCCGGTCGGAGAGGTGGTGGTGGAGCTGTACAGCTCGTTCAGCGCCTTCAGTGATCTCACCAAGTTTCGCTGTGCCACGGTTCAGGGCGGGCCGTTTGTGGACGAGGACCACTGTCGCTATGTCACGATCGACAACAAGTTCTCCTTCTCCACCAACAGGAGTGCCTCATCCAGGTGAGAGCTCGTATAGCGCGCGAGCTGTGGACGGGTCGGCGCGGCTTGGGGATAGATGCAAGCTGGCGACTCTGTTCTGCATGACGCTGAGTACGGGTGACGTCTGCATTGCACGGGATTGCCACAGGCGAGGTCAGCATGGTGTGCTGGGGAGGCAGCATTACCACAGGGCATTGTCAACGGCAGGATGCAGGATCAGATGTCAAATTGATCTTCCCCAGCGCCCTCGCCGATTCGAGCAGGGCGAGACAGATTTTCTTCATCAAGCAGGCTTATCTCACTCCGCAAAAGAAGTCCAGTACTTAACGTGATGACGCATGGATCGCTCGATAATTTGCTGGCACCGTTCCCCTTGCTCGCCCGGCTCGCACTGCTTCAGCACGGAGATGCAGTTTGGTGGGTATCGGCGGTGCTGCGCCCATCCTTCTCCCACCAGCTTCCACGCAGATGGCAACACCCGGGTGGTACGGGTCTAGTCAACTAAATGCGGAGGGAACCACTCCCTACCACGGCATTGGTGGTAGTCAGGCATTGACGAGCATCTAAAATTATGCGGGTCCTCAAAAGAACACTAACCCGAATAGCCGTCTTCAGACGCTCATGTGCCGACAAACAAAGCGAACCCATATGACACGTTTATTGTGTTCAGAGCAAGGAAAATTCGCAAAACTACGCTATCACGGCACGCGGAACAGTGCTTCAATATGTTGCGCACCATCACCAAGCCAGAACGGAAATTTCGACGACAGAAGTGGGTTTTCTCGTGATAAATGTTGTTACTTACGTACTTACTTACGAGCTGCCTTTGCAGCCGGGCATATGTCAGAAGTTTTAACCGTTCCAAAACGCCCTTGCGCAGCTGCGACAACATATACAACACATCGCGTTCCTTACAGGGGCGGCGCCAGGCAGCTGCGACAGGTTAGGCAAACTGCTGCGGGGAAAAAAGACTGAGACCATGATGCATAGTCTTCCCATCTTTCTGGCATCCGGTTTCGAAGAGGAGACCTTGTTTTAGCAACACTAAAGCGAGGTCTAAAATAAGGAACACACTAAAACAAGGAACGCGGCAAATATACTGCCCGCGCGAGCGGTTGTCGGAAATCACGATCAGTCGATCACGTGCGGTAGTGATGTCACTAACATTTACGGAGCTCAAAACATCATCAATATTTCCTTGAAATGTACACAACCACATGCTTACCAATAAACTCAAGATTAAGCGCCTGTATAAATATGATTGTGCTACGATGCATGGTTTCGTGAATGTTGACCTGTGAAACTGAAATAGTAACCCTGTGCCAGCTGCCTGCTCCCCTGGGTGGGGGTTTTAGAGGCCTTCTCCTGCCTTAGACCCGTCCGTTGCCGCACAGTCGACAGGGTAAGCTTGCACCTCACCCAATTTCTTCCCCGCCGATCACAAGCCACAAACCAGTGGCCGCAGATCCTTCCTGCTATGAGAAGACGCTGTTTTTAATTACTTTAAATAAGGGACCACTGAATTTTGAATTTGGTTCGGACCCGGTACTCATACCGAGGACCGAGGTCTCAGGGAGCGGTTCCTGTTAACTGGTGCTGAAAACACCTTGGATGAACTCTGGTTCAGACCCGGTACTCAGAGCCAGGACCGAGGTCTCAGGGAGCGGTTCCTCTCGACTGGTGCTGTTGACGCGCTGTTCGCTGATGAGCGCTGATTGACGCGACTGTTGGCCTGGTGCTGTTGACGCGCTAATCGCTGATTGACGCGGCTTTTGACCTGGTGCTATTGACGCGCTGTTCACTGATGAGCGCTGATTGGCGCGACTGTTTGCCTAGTGCTGTTGGTGCACTGTTCACTGATGGGCGCCGATTGACGCGACTGTTGGCCTGGTGCTGTTGACGCGCTGTTCGCTGATGAGCGCTGATTGACGCGGGCGACTGCTGTTCCGTCCGTCTGCAGGTGGCCAGTGGAGTGCAAGGACGACGAAGTCGTAACGGGCATCTCTTACATGGCCGGCCACGTCCCTCCGTTCGAGGCGATCCGGTGCTGTGTGCTGACGATGGGTTAGCGGCCGCGCTCGTGCGGCTCCCCGCTCGCCCCCCCCCCCCCCCCCCTCCCTCCTTACCCCCACCCCCACTCGCCGCGCGAGGGCAGCCGGGCGGCGCCGCTGCCGGACACCACGTCGCAGGAAGCCCGGGCGTGAAGTGGAAATGTGGAGGAAGTTGTAGAACTCCGGATCGGCGTTCTGCCGAGATACGCATTGCACAAGCATGTTGCACACGCCGCTGACTGTGCGCGTCGTTGTTTACTAAAAGTTAAGGTGGACCCAGGGGCGTATGTTCGCAAAATGAGTTGGGGGGCTGAACGGTGAAAAATAAACCAGCCTGCCCCGAAATATTCCACCAAACAGGATTTCTCGCCAGCTTTTACCCACTTCTTTCCAAAGTTGACGGCCAGAAGCCTAAGTTGGACGGGAGAGCTGAAGCCCGTGAACTGAATAGGCAACTACACCCCTGGGTGGTGCCGTGGGTTGCCTATCGCCCCCCCCATGGCCGATGGGATACCCTGTGTGATGCGCTGCTCGTTCTCCACCGTGACACCATAGCTCAGTTAAAACTGTCGTAATCACAGCTGAATTTTGGAATTGTGGCCATCAACAGTATGTGTTGGTGTCCTTGCTATAATCGCCAGGAGAAAATATGACGCTAATGGCGCACCAGAGCACCTCTTAATAGTATTATTAATTACCGTCTCATGAACACTGCAGCCGCACCACGGTAACCAGGTGACTTCAAACCTCAAAAATTTGAGAGGGAGAGAGAGAGAGAGGGCTCACGAACGCCAGATACAAATGCCACGAACATTATATTTTTATTGACCTTGACGTATTCGCCGCATGACGTATAGAATGGCAGGATTGAAATGACGTTATAATGACCTCATGGATGCCAAGGTGACTTTGAAATACTCTCCCTGATACACCCTTCCCGATTTTCGCGGGCATGTAGTCCAGAAACCAGGCGGGTTTAAGTCTTAAGAAGGGCAGGATTGTGAACAGCACCGAAGGGTCCTCATGATAGTTTTTCAGTCCAAAACCCTATACAAATGTGTAAGGCTCCCTTCAAGGTTGAATTTTTCCATACGTCGCGATAGCGTCAGTGACAAGCTTTTACAGGTGGCAGCCTAGCCCCCTGGTCCTCTATCATTCAACTCATGCGCCTATACCGACCGGTGTGTGATATACGGGCCTGCACGTTGGTGTTCATACGCGCATATGCTTCTGCTCAGGCCTCTTCGCAAAATATGGCACGCCGTGCTCAACAGTACGTATATGGGCGGATGTGACTGGTATTTGCACTGGCTCAGTCTGGTTGTGCGCCTCAACAAAGCACGTTTACACGTCACTCAGGTCCCCGTATAATTCAACGTAATTGGGTGCCACAGGGTGGAGCTATCAGCACAGTCAAAGGCACCACCTTGCCAGAACGGGGTTTGAAATGTGTGTTCAACGTCGCCTTATACGCTCAATGTGTTGACTTTCCTCGTTCCCGCCGCAATAAAAGCATATTGAGTACCGATTCACGTGTTTTCTTTCTCAGCGCGTGATTTTATATTGTGGGAACTAGCGCGTGTGAACATCGGCCGCCCCTCCCGCACAGCACCTGCAGATTAGAGCTGTGCTGACTTAACACTAAGAGGCAAACGCGGACAACGCTGGGCCGGCATGCCAAGGCCATTTGGGGGTCAAATTTGACGAACAAATAAAAAAGTTATCGTCTCACATGGTAGGCTTACTTTGTACAAAACAAAGGGAACATGCATACGTCGTCACGAACTCGGCGTGAAATTTGTGCGTCACGCCACAGCACACATTCGGCGTATTGGCTTTCCGATATTGCACCACGGTACACAAATATTGATGGGGGTGCCCGCATTTCATTTCCCACAGCCATAATCTTATAACCGTGTTACACCATGAAATTCAAAGCTCAAACCTTTCGCGTTGCAAGATTTGTTGATCAATAGACAGCCCCGGTTAATGTCAGGCAGGCTGCTCATTTCTATGTTAAATTGGACGACTGAAGATGCCAAATTGATCAGGCAAAATATTCGTTTTGCTTTATTTCCATTGGAGGGAGCGTTTTTGGTCCATGTGGAAAGTTTCAGACCCTGACGGACGGGAGCCATTTTCACCGGATCATTGGCGATAGAGTCGTTAGACACCCATAGCCATTAGGGCCTAACTCGAGCAAGCCAGAGTAAGAAAAGCGGATGCAACAAAAAAATCCAGTAATGTCCATTCTGACCGCCTGTGGTCAATCAGACACCTTCTATGTCAGGTTGAACTTGGTTAATGGGGTTACGAAGCCACAAAATACACTTTTTCAGTAATATATACATATATATATATATATATATATATATATATATATATATATGTGTGTGTGTGTGTGTGTGTGTGTGTGTGTGCGTGTGTGTGTGTGTATGTATGTATGTAATACGCATGAAAACCGAAACGACCGAAGGACCGAAATCGAAAGCAAAAAAACGACACCGAACGACCGAAAGCTGGAACACTACGTAGCTCCATTCAGGGTCCCAGGAGAGCAAATCAACTGATAACTGACTGTCTCAAACCCACCTGCGGCCAGCCACATCCAAGGGACAAAGGCAAGCGCCGCCACGCACGCACAGCTTCCGTCCACCGTTGCGCTCTACGAGGGACCGAAGTCGTCAGTATGACCTTAGTCACGCTGACTTGTTGGGAATACTGAGAAAATCTCACGCAGCCATTATCACGGAAGAATGTTTCCAATAGAAAGTGTCAAAATTCGCTAGTTTTAAATATTGGTAATTGGTGCCGCTGCTGCCACACTTCCATGCAGACTAGTGCTCGGCGCGTGACTTATTTCGCATAGGCCAAATTTTGTTGCCAACCATTTGCGGACAAATTAGTCAAGAATGTGAAACGCTAGTCCGGTTTGTAAAGGATGCAAGCGTAATGCATTCCTTGGATGTACCTGTTATCTTAATATATTCTACATAAGCGGGATCTCCAATGAACCGCGCTGACCCAAACCTTCTCCCTCTCGCACCCCTGTCCCAGTCCACAAAAGCTCAGACGCAAATTGGGCCAACGAGTAATTGCGTCAACACTCAAGCCTGCAAAAACGTATCGTAAACACCACTGCCGCGCTGACGTGTAGTAATAAATCAATCCCGGGGAACGCGCACAACTGCGTGTTTGTTGCTGCCAAAATAGCTTAATGAGTGCTGCGTATCAAATGAAAGTACACAGCTCTGAACCAGTCTGAAATCACAATCTCTTTTGCCGTTCTTAGCAGACATCACTCGGCACGGCAATCACGTCCCATCGCAGAATGAGCAACCGGAATGCAACTGCACGTCTTTGTGTATTGCAGATGTGACGCCAATGCCGTATAGCTCACTTAAACGGCCAGGTCAACAAGATGAGGCCGTCATCACTATGCCGCGTGAGAATCACGAAGTGAGCTAACAGAGCGCTATGTGCGCCAATGATAAAGTTCTCGTGGTGTGACTGGAGCTAATCACGCGCTGTTCCAGAACAGCACCAAACTTTCTCGACACGAAACAAATACTAGAGGATATTTGCGATTATCAACATGCGTATACATCCACACAAAAGGCAACACATTCCCCATGCATGTGACCGGATCGTTATACACCAGCGAAACAATTTGGCCAGCAATTCAACACAACTTGGTGATCCGGTTGGACAAACACAGCAACCTATGTTCGTCTCATAAATCGGAAGCACGAGCAACTCCACGAACTGGATAACAGCCCCGACAGCCGACAATTGCCACAGCGTGTGATGAACTGAAGCCTCGCTCTTCCATTGAGGTGTCACATCGTAGCTCGCATAGGTAGGTATGCATATCGTAATGGATTTAACAATTTCAGTCGGCAAGGAGGCACGCGGGCAGGGTTTTCACCTGTTTCGGCCGAGCGTCAGTGCTTTACGCTCACAGCGAGGACAAAACATGAAGACAAACGGGTCTACTTCTCATGTCACCGTAACAATGTGCTTCAGGTTAATCCAGCAACGTTGTCTGCACGAATGCTTGAAAATAGTTTGTGTCAAGTCAACCAATCTCAGCTGACCACGTCGATGCGCAGCGCAATTTTCGCCCGCGATACATTACTCGCACGATATGTAAACCGCCGACTTTTCACTGCCTGGGATTTCTCGCATATCTGTGAACTCCACCTGAAAGCAAAGGCGATGTGAGGTTCCGAGCGGAAAATCACAGTTATGCACTCCAACGGCAATGAATTTACGAAAAAGAGTAAGAAATAAATGTATGGGAGTTGACTTGATACGAACCTGTCTGACCTGGTGATCCGCCTGGCAACTGACCTGGTGATCCGCCTGGTGACTGACCTGGTGATCCGTCTGGCAACTGACCTGGCGATAGCCGAGCTTGGCGCAGACCTGGCGCGAGCGCTCCTCTCTCCACACCCGCTCCGGGACGGCCATCCAGCGGCCGTGCATACGCACCACCAGGAAACCCTCGGAGTCGCAGCGAGGAGACCTGCGGGGGCAGACAGGCGGGGCTGAGCTGCGCAGAGACCCGCACCACTCAGGCCACACGTGGGCGACACCACCGACCAGAATACGGCCAAACCACCGCTGTGCTGAGCAGTGCAGTGGCCAGTGCTTGCAGTGGATGCTCGCATGAAGCATCCACTGCAACTAACCACCACTAGACGTGCGCCAATGGTGGATAGGCACTTGATAGTGCTATAGTGTCCGGACTGAAAGTGAGGTTGGCGTATTTTGATGTCATTCGAAGCCCCAGTCCGACGACAGTTTAAATAACACCAATGAAAATGACATGTCAAAAGTGTCACACGCGTGATTGCAAAAAAAAGTGTCAAGCGTCATGCAGTCGTACTGGAGGCATGTATGCGCGATCATTCGTGCAAATGCTGTTGGCCTTATGCTGGGGCTGGAATGCAAGAGCGGGGACAGCAGCCCCGGCCTGAAAATGATTCGGGTTACAGACAGCAATGCGTGCCATGTGCTGTTTGCGGTGAGCTTGAAGAATGCCACTAGATTGGAATTTAAGCAGCTGGAGGGTGGGTTCCATGCTAACCTATGTTTTTGTTTGAACGGGACCTGACGGAAAAGAGCCTGAGGCTCCGATGCGGGATAATAAGCCGGTCGCGCATGGCCAATATTTTTCGAGAAAAGACCTCGCTGGAGTTTAAGTGTTCATAGAATATCTGTGCACCCACAAAGGCTGCTTACCTGTGGTACACACACCAAATACGGAAAACATTTCCTGAGTGAGCTTTGGTGCGGCAGGCTATACCAAGAACGAGTGGGAACGAGTCCTGCTGCACTGAGCGTAGGTTCATTCGTCGTAGAGCACAGTCGCACTGTGAAGAGCACTGTCACACACGGGAGCGGGACGAAGTGCCTTTTCACCCGAAGCCATTTAGAGATACGGATGACAAGGAACGTATCAGGATGATAGATTGAACAGAAATGAAGGCGTCATAAATGTGGTCAAGGTGTGGTCGGAGAAAGGAATATATCTCCAGATTTCTGATATGTTTTCACAGAGCGCTCTGAATGTGTGTGCAACATGATTCATTGTAAACACATTGCTTGAGCCATCAATGATACATTCCTTTCGTTTATCGCTTGCCACAACCGGGATCGATCATTTGCTACGTATGATTTAATTACACCATGCCATTGGCAGCGCTTTACCTCACGATAAAACGTGGGAAGTGTGATCGGATCCTGCACGTAGCCGCCAAACGCGCTCAGATTCCCCGTGACTTCAACAACTGCGCCTGCACGACGTCGACGCCACTAGCGCCGCTTCTCCGCGCGAAGCAACTGACCCCAGCAGGGTCTCGCTGACGTTGAAGCTCGGCCTGCCCTGGTGATCGGGCACGCTGGCGGGCAGCTGTATCAGCAGGCATACGCAGTGCTCCTCGTCCTCTCCGCCGGCGCACTGGTAGCTGACGTCACACACCTCCGAGCGCGGGATCAGGCTGACTTCGGGGTTCCTGCGGGCGCGGCCGATGACGTCAGGCCCGATGGGCGGAGACGTCGCGCGAAGGGCCGAACGGCCAGCGCGTAAAAGACGATACATGACATCACTAGGGCGCAGGTCGCGAACCGTGAAGCCGGGCAGCAGGCACGCGACAGACGAGACATGACGTCACAAAGGTGCACAACCCGGGGCGAGTGATACCACAGGCGCCCGAGGCGGGGCACGTGGCCGGCGGGAGCGGTGGGCAGAAGAGACTCCGCGCTCCGCACTAGCCGGGAGGCCGTTGGTGGCTGAGATGTGACTCACGATATTCTGCATCCGATAAGAACGAAGGGCACAAAGCCAAGTTTGCGCAAATTAAGCACCTCGGCAGTGCATACATGCAACACGACGAGAAGGTAATCATTAATACAAAACATGAATTCACAAAGACAGGTGGGGAGTAAATATTCCGGTCAAGCACATTTCAAGACAACAAAACCCGGCTAACGGTGTCACTGCAGTGTCCCATCATTCAGTGTTCCCATTCAGAGACGACAGTCAGGATGGAGGGGGGGGGGGGGGGAGGGGCGGCGGGCAGATGGTCGCATCAGACCGACCGACGCCACATACCGGTAGCAGCGGAATCTGTCCGTTTCGTATCTACAGCCAAACTCGTCATCGCCCGTTATGCAGTCGACATTCTGGTCGCAGATGAGCTCCGGCGCCGCCAGCCTGGTAAAAAGGTGGCGCTGCACACCTCCAGAGAGCTAATTGCGTTCACATGTTCACGCATAGTTGCATAGATTTTTTTTCAAAACCTGCATCTGCTTTTTGACTGTCGTCACGACACTGCGTGCTCGGTGATCTATTACACGCGCACTGGAAATACGCGCGCCAGGTCAATTTTAGTGGGGGAAAGGCAGACCAAGGTCACATACATTGAAATGCATCAAGTGTGTGTTAAGCGACTGTTTTTCATTCATCTCCATATTGAACGGAAGATATAGCATAATGCTTCACCGCAGAGGTGGATCCAATCACAACATAAGCCAAAGCTCAGAGTTAGTTGACTTCAGGTCTTGTATGCATCGAAATAGTTATTACGTGCTATACTGAAGCAGAGAATAGGGAAGTGATTTGCAAACAATAGTTGAATAATAGTAGTGCTACATGGTGCGAACGCGGTTTCACAAATACAGAGCCAATGAAGCACATACATAGTTGTTTGGGATTCGATGGCATCTTGGCGCGCGGACAGTTACTCAATATTAAGCTTCACGCTGCCGACTGTCGCTCAAGCGAAATAGCTGAAGTACATGTAGAATAAATTATAAAATGCATGTATTTTCACTTGTATAGCAACTGAAAACCGATATCATATATATATATATATATATATATATATATATCAAAAAGCTCAGACACATTTCAGTCAGTGAAATCCATTTATATTGACCTAAATAGCGTTACGTGATCTTACCAGCCATCCTACATACAACTGTGTTTTTACGCCTCGGACCATCTTCTATGAACGACACACGGGACCTATTTCCGGTGACTATATCGGACCGTCTTACTTAGATACTTTCCGTGAATTCCACCAACATTTTTCCGTAAGACAGTCTTGTATTGGCAAATTAAAATATAATAATCCTTGGCACCGGGAAAGTAGCTTGAGGTGGCCAGAATTGGGGGAGAAATCAGGTCTGGGAGGAAGCTGGTCAACCTTGATGGGCGAGTTCCTTCAACTGATTCTACAAAAGTGACGCCCCTGCATGGGCTCAAGGTACACATGCTCAATGGGACCACTTAGAAGACGACCATAATGACTAAGAACTCGGTAAGCTATTTAATGAAAACTAGAGCAGTATCTGGTACTTGTTAAATTTCGAAATACTTCCGGCGCTCTTGTCAGCATCCAGCCAAACGCGGACTGAAAATCATGGTATTACGTGATTCGGAATCCCATCTTCTTGTTCACAGATTAATCGGATTGCGGAATCGAATCCAGCAAGTCAGCAATAGTGAACCAAACCAATCTCATTCACATATTCAAACTGTCTGAAGGGCACAGAACTACCAAAAGTGAAGGCAAGGGAAAGGGGATGAGGAAAGACCGGAGATGGAGACACCTCTCACCGGAGGAAGCCGCGGCAGGTGCAGATGTCGGGCTCATCGGCGCCGTTGAGGCAGCCGGCGCGGCCGTCGCAGTAGGCGCGGTAAGGTCGGCAGGTGCCGCTCTCCGCGCACATGATCTGGCCATCCGCGCAGTCTGCCGCGCCACGGCGACGGTCATCGTCCCGCCAAGGTCACAATAGGCCATAGAAGTTCACTGAATAGTGTGACATGTTACAGCAGTCACAGAAAGATGCTGAAAAACGGCGTTACAGCACGCCACTGTATGTCAAGCTCCTTGCACGCCGTGTGGCCTGAGAGGTAGACAGGGATCCTTTTCCCCGAGACGTTACCGAATGAGGTTTGTCAATGATGTGTAATAATGAACACCGTGTAGAGAAAAAAATGCATGCAAACATGTATTGACGTCATTTGTTCATTTGTGTTGTCATTCATACCAGTGAAGGTGCCACTTTTATGGCTGCAGGCCCGCAATGTGCGGTTAAAACAATTTAATTGGTAGCTCTGATACGTACCAGCTGGCAATGGTCCTCAGTAGAATTTACCGTCTGCATGACCATGGTGGTCTAAACTGCGGTTGTACGGGATGAACCGCTTCATTACTGGAAAACTTGGCTTCAGGCTATTTTGATGTCCATTTTGCATCCTGGATCTCAACTACTTCAAAAGATGATTACTTTAAGTTCATAAAATGAAGGCCAGGGGAGGTTGCCGACTCAGAATGACATAAATCAGTATTTTGCCTTGGGAAGCATACCGCATAGTCCAACCTTGTTGGACATTATTTGAACCAAACGTAATGACCTAGAAAGCTTAAAATTTGGCACAAGTGAGTTTATCTAAATTCCTGCCTGCTCTGTACGTTATGTGTCTCGCAATCTTAGTGTTCCAGATATTGGCTGGTAAAACTGACCTCTTACCCGAGCGTGGCGCGTTTAACCGGCCGCCTGGACGCGTTTTGCCAGCAAACTCTACCAAAAACCACCTCCCTGCCATATTTATGGACGATCCAATTACGATAACCACTGGACGTTGGTGCGGTTCCGCTGGAGAGTAATACTAACCACACTGGCCGCTGGGAGTGATGCAAGATGTGACGTTGAAATCACAGTCCACCTCGTCCGAGCCATCGTCGCAGTCGGGCGCGCCGTTACACACCTGCACGTGCGCATGGGATCATTATCAAGCTTCGCGTACTGCACAACGGGGCACATGCGCACCAACGCTACGTAGCCTGGAAGAGTTATTGCAAGCCTGCACAAGGGAGACGGGTTGATCGCAGTGTGTTTGCTTATTATTGTGCCACGCTTACACACCCACAAAGCTACTGTTTTGTGGTCAGGTATACGCTACAGCTCTTCACAAGTCATGTGGTTAGGGGTTCAGGCTTATGGCCCACCGGATTCAGCATATTATCGGCACGTCCTCAAAAGATTCAGACCGGATGGGAAGATCTTAAACGCTGGGTCGGACGCAGCAGAAGTGGGGCCAAGGTCATGTGTGCAGCCGTGTGTGCATTCAATGCACTCGCAATGTGCTCTACGCAATGCGGTTAGCTTTAAGCAACCAGTTGGCTGCGTCATGTCACGTCACGTCACGTCATCACACGTCACGTGACTTCACTACACATCACGTCATGTCATTATACGTCACGTCATGTCACTACACGTCACGTCACAACACGTCGCGTCACCACACGTCACGTCACGCCGCCACACATCACGTCACATCCCCGCACGTCATGTCACGTCACTTGACTACACGTCACGTCACGTCAATACACGTCACGTCACTCAATGTCATGTCATGTCACCACACGTCACGCCACTTCACGTCACCACACGTCACGTCACGTACTGTTGGTCACGTTGGTCACTGTTGGTACTGTACGTCACGTACGTCACGTACTGTCGGGCTCATGTTTTGTCAGGCATTCTGACTTGACAGCATGTCAAGCCGAATGTGTGAACGGTGGACTGATTTGCAAACCTGGGGACGTAAACATCGCCACTTAAATTGTAGGTGACTTGTTCGAATCAGCTTCTGGACGAGGCCAATTCAAAAGGCATACCGGTTCAAACCAATGGCAAAGCTCACAGCCGTCCGCCGTACACAGTGCAATTGACATACGCGAATATTCGATCACACCCATGGAAACAGAGAGACAGGCCGAGGTAAAACCCTGCGTGCTGGTTTCGTTATCGCCGTTGTTTTCGTTGTTCTTTGGTATGTTGTTAAATGTGCTGGGTGCAGCCCGTTTCCCAGCGGCTAGGCGTCGGCTGGCCGTCAGGCATCGCCCAGCCGCTGTTTCCGCCTACGCAGTCAGCCGTCAAGACGGCACCGGGCGTCACGTGACCGCGTCAGTGGCGTAAGCAGGGGTCACCGGGGCACGTGCCTGAGATCTCAAAATTAGTCACATGGCCTCTTATACCGACTAACCCCCCCCCCCCCCCCGCCCCCGGGACAACGCGGGCCTCTATTTCGGCCAGAGGCCGCCAACACCGAACAGTCTGCTGCGTATCAGTCTGAGCCCCGGGGGCCCACTTCCCAAGCAGGGACGAAGCTGGGCTCGCGATCTGCATTGGTTGGGGCCACTGAAGCAATAATGAACCCCTGTGTTGGCCAGGGGCCTACATAGCCACCAGGGTACTGTGTCGGCAATGGGCTCAGAGTCGACCAGAGGAATATTTGCCTAACAGAGACAGGGACAGGACCCCGCACACTTCTTCCTCGCCTGCCCGCCCCGCAATCCATTGCAACCGCTGTGTGAGGCCCGAAAATGTTTACAAAATGCGTGTGGTTTCAGATAGCGTCTAGTCGCGAACGTCTTTGAACGTGCAACGCGCCCACATTGGAGGCGTGTGCCGATCCCAGCTCGGCCCCGGTGTCGAATGCGCCACCTTCGCCGCACTCTGACCTTGGTTGGGTGGATGCACTGCCCCAAGGTGCACCGGTGACCCGAGCACGGAGGTTCGGCGATCGCCACTGATGGGGTACAGCTGCCGATGGCACAAGGCAAGACAAGATAGATAAGATTGACAAAATAAGATAGACAAAATAAGACAACACAGGGCAGGAATGACGAGACAGATGGTGCATCGGGGAACAGGGGACCGATCAGCAACTATGGAGGAGGATACAGCACGACACTGGTACATGTAAGGACGAACAGAGCACAAACAGACTTCGTCAAGATATAGTAAAAATTTCCACTATGATGGATAGAAAAAGTCATTACTTGTTTTCTGGTTTAGTCAGAATAGTTTTGGACATTTTCAGCAGGATCTCTTTGAGCAACTTTTTAAATTAAATGAGACCGAGCTAAAAATCTCCACCCAAAACAGCAAGAAGGGGCTTGCTTGCGAGACGCCCTCCGCGCCCTCCCCCCCCCCCCGCGCCCGTCACCCAGACGTCTGACCGCGGCAGGCCAGGCCGCTGCACCTGTCCAGCAGCTCATCCCGGAACAGCTGGCCCAGCTCCGGCGGCGCCGTCAGCGAGATGTTGAGGCAGTCGAGCCGCCGGCGCAGGTGAGTGGCCGACAGGCGGCGCCACCGGCGCTTCCGGCCGAAGCAGTGCGGACCGTGCTCGCGGAACACGGCAGCCGCCCGCCAGAGCAAGTCGACCCCCCGGCACAGCAACGCTCCCGACCAGTCGCCGGCACTCTGGAAGTGGAAAGGGACGGAAGGCGGTGGTCATGGAAATGTAACATTGGGTTCAGGTCACCGAGACAGACAGGGGAACGATAGGGCGGCAGAGGTGGATGCATCCGCCGATAAGAGCTCGGCAAAGGTTGTAAGGAAAGGCACAGACGGTTACGGTAGAGTCAAGGAGGTCATAGAAGAAGAGTTCGAAGAGGTCGCATAAGAGGTCATAGTCACACAAGAGGTCAGGGTCACGCGGGATGTGAGAGGAGTGAGACACTATGGGGAATGATAGGCAAGTTATCAGGGAGGCTTCAGACTGGCATGGATCAGATTAGCCACTTTTTGCCATAAAGATTACTTTTAAGCCATCGAATGCAAACGCAAATATGAATAAAAATTTTATATATATATATATATATATATATATATATATATATATATGTATATATTTAATAACACACACACACAAAATATGACAATAAAATGGATTTTTGTTCTATATCGTCGTTTAACCGCGTCTCCTGGTATATTGAAGATCGATAACTCGGTGTCAGAACACTTGAACTCATCATGCCGAACACAGGGAGGGAAGGTAGTTTTCTATTCATTCCCCTAGCTCCTAACTTTGGGAATAAAGTCGGTCGAATCCGGGGAGATCCATTGATTGGCATTTTGAAGGCAAGTTGCGTCGTTTTCCCCTGCTCTGCCCCTCCCCCTTCCTTTCCAATTCACTTTGCAAAACCACACCCCGGTCAAATTACTAGAAGCTACCACAGAAGGCCCAAGGGTCCCTGTGTGGTCCGAAAATCCCCTTGATGGTCTGGAGGGGGAAATCTTTGAAAGGCAAGAGGGCTCTCAGCAGTAATGTGGCCCCCATAAGCGACCAGTGTGTTTCTGGTGCCCAGAAATCGCCCGTCAATCGACCAGAAAGACACGGAGATACCCAATGGGAGCGTACTGAGTATCTGGAAGGAGCAATTTGATACTGTCCAAGTTTCTTTTCTGCCAAAAAAACCCTTTTGGAGTTTTTATCACTCAGTCCACTCACTTTTCTTTGATCTGCGTGAAGCGAATTGGGCTCTTCTAAAGGGTCCTTGGATCCCCGACCCACCTCTAGTTTTCTGGTTTTCCAAAGCCGGAGGCCCGGCCCTCACCCATCGCCCCCCCCCCCCCCCCCTCCCGCCCAAAGGATTTCCAGGCAACGTCATAGAGGGGTACAGAGGTACAGAGGAGGTCGCAAGCAGGTCACAGGAAGGTCACCGGTCGGTCACATGGAAAATCGCACGGGGAGGCTATACGAGATAAAACGATGGAGGCCGCTGGCTATTCCAAAAAGAATGCAGCTGAGTCACAAAAATAGCACCATGGATCAAGTATTTGACATGGCAGCACCCCATAGATGACATCAGGCACAAGGCCTAGCCTGCGACTGCCGGGGTCACCTGGCAGCGTGCTGTGGGCGCCGGCAGGGTGCAGACCATATCCTCGGGGCACACGGGGTCGAGGCGGAGCTTCACACCCTGCACCGCGCCACCACCCCAGCCGACAGCGAAGCAGTAGTCCACGTGCCTCAGAGCAGAGCTCCTGCCGGCAGTCACACGACACTTCGCCCTCAGGGTGTAGGAGGAGAGCAGCGCAGGGGCTATGGTCGGTCGCCCTGGGGCGCGCGTAATATCTCAGCCATGGCTGCAAGAAGAGCCGTCACCAAAGACTGCTAGCACAGGCGATGTTGGCTACCAGACAGAAAACGCAGTTACCTGTCGTTTGAGGTGCGTATCGAGACGTCTTGACTGCAAAACGACGAGGAATAAGCAGATCCAGTAAGTTCATGTTCCTTGCGTGTAGCTATACACTGAAAATATGCCTACTGCGTGCGATAATATCTCTTGTATGTCATTGTTCCTCATACTACGGAAACAACATATGTCACGGAGCAAAAAACAGCTGTACCGGACACATGGCCCTCGCCGGGAACGAAACCCCAACCTGCCGCCCGCCGGGCTAACCCGCCACTGACCCGTCCTCGGGCGGCAGGCAGGCCGGGTAGGCGTGCTCGCCCAGCGCCAGCGGCCGGCTCAGGTGAAGCAGCGTGACGTCACCGTCGCGGGAGCGGAAGTCGACGCGCACCGTCTGGTGGGCGGGCGTGGCGAACAGCTGCCGCCGGTGCTCGCCCGCCCGCACGGCGACGTAGTCGGACGAGGGGCTGAGAAAGGTGAGGATGCATTACACATTACCCCTTACACATGCAGGTGCATTGATGACAGCTGCGCAGAATGGGCTGTTCCCTGTGCAGTCAGGTATGCTTTAGCGCAGATTTATCACAGATAAAGCTTATGCACCTAGCATCATTTTAAAACATTGGCTTTGCATAGCACGTTAAGGCAAAACGTACTCCAACGTACGTACGTACAACGTACAGGCAAACACCGCGTTCAAAATAGCTCTACTGGTGTCCAAATGTGAGCCTGTAACCCCAAAAAGATCCCAAGATCCGATCCCATGATCATTTCACGGTAGAACTCAATGGTGTCCTGGACCCAACCATGGGACCCAGTCACACATCTGCCAGCGTCTAAGTGTTTGATCTTGATCACGCCGTGTGACGCCAAACGTATACACGAGATACCCCCACACCAGGTGATGCTAAACGTGTGCTTGAGACCCATGCACACTGGGTTTTACCAAAACGTATACCTGAGACCCATACATATCAGGTGACGCCAAATACCAATAACACTTCGGTGTGTAAGCTGAAAAGCAAGCAATTCAAGCGCTGTCGCGTAAGTTGTTCGGGATTATGCATTTGTGTTCACAACACCTCCATAAATGAATATCCTGCACAATTAACACGAGTAAGGCCTAGCTTTGGTATTTTGTTATGATGAATCACTCGCGATGAGCCTTATGGAATGATTGTATCGAGGTATGGGAAGAATGCGCGTGTCGGCTGCGTTACCTGATAAGGTCAACCGCCTCGGATGACGTCATCACCCAGCTGGGGCTGATGAGAGTCGCTCCGGTCACCACGGCACCGTCCACGTATACGGTGACGTACATGGGCCATACCCCGGAGCCTGCCGACAGTCAGGGTCACCTGGGGCGCGGGTCACGCACTGGGGCGCGGGGTCACGCACCGGGACGCGGGGTCACGCACCGGGACGCGGGGTCACGCACTGGGGCGCGGGGTGGCACTGGGGCGCGGGGTGGCACTGGGGCGCGGGGTGGCACTGGGGCGCAGGGGTGGCACTGGGGCGCAGGGTCACGCACCGGGACGCGGGGTCACGCACTGGGGCGCGGGGTGGCACTGGGGCGCAGGGTGGCACTGAGGCGCAGGGTGGCACTGAGGCGTAACGCTTGGGTAAGGTGCACGCACTGTGGTACGGAGTAAGACGTTGGGGCGTAGGGTTACATACTGTGGCGCGGGACAACGCACGGGGGTGTGGAGCTTACGCGCTGGGGTACGGGGTTCATGAACTGGGGCGCGGGGTGCAGATAGCATATTGGACTGACGGGCACACGCTGGGGTACGACGCGCACACGTTCGGGTACAGGGTCCAGTGCCGCAACATAGTCACAGTACCTCTTCGCGTAAAGGACACAAATCGTGTTTTGGGACCGTGAAACGCGTTGTTGGGCCAAACATCTGCGAGATTCACACTGACGTAAGTGGCACACGTCGGGGCACGAGGCACATTTTTAGGCGTGTGGTTCACACATCAGAAAGGGGTCACCACCTGGCCCTTAGATGAGAGGCAAACGCTAAGATGTGAAGAAGTCACTGGTTACTTGACTGGTGACTATTGACCCGACAAACATTATGCCAATGACGCCAGCGGGCCAGAGCGTGCTGCACCACTGGCGCCCGGCCAGGGAGTGTGGTACCACAGACGCCTGGCCAGGAGGTGAGGCACTACTGAAGCCGGGCCAGGGCGTGCGGCACCACTGAAGCCGGGTCAGGGAGTGTGGCACAACCGACGCCTGGCCAGGGAGTGGGGCACCACCGACGCCTGGCCGGAGAGTGTGGCACCATCGACGCCTGGCCAGGGAGTGTGGCACCACCGACGCCGGGCGAGAGCGTGCTACACCGCTGGCGCCCGGCCAGGGAGTATGGCACCACCGACGCCTGGCCAGGGGGCGTGGCACCACTGACCGGAGGTGGGACCGGGCGTGTCGCGGAGCTGTTTGAGCGCCGGCCGGTGACCGCAGCTCGGCTCCGCCGCCGGGCCGCAGGTGAGGTCGACGGCGGTGCAGGCGGCACGGCCAGTGGCCAGCTGGTAACACAGCAACACAGCTGGACGCCACAGAGAGCCACACGATCGACAGCCGCCGTAGGACGTACAAACCATTGCATATTTGTTTCAGGATGGACTGCCCGCAATGGGCCGAACGGTCCACAACGCTTGATTACGTAAACAGTTGCGTGGAATTGACGATAAAACTCGAAATAATTTTTGGACACTTTTCAGAACAATGCAAACTATTGGTAGTACATTTCTATTATTTCTAGCACGCTACATGTAAATCTTGATATGTTTAATGTATGTTTCATATTATAATTTACTTAACAAATATTCTAGCACGTGATGTTGACGTTCCGAGAAACTGGTTTCAGATAAGGGAAATATGGTTCAAATCTGGTGTAGGACGAACACACCTTCCTGACTTCCAAAAGACAATAGAATACTTAATAGCAGGGTTGCAAACCACCAGTCATGACAACCGCTATGGCATCGCCATTCCACCCCACTTGCCTTTTGGCCGTTTAGCAAGTGGTTGAGGTGGACCAACGGGTGGTCAAGCGTGCGCGGCATCAGATGCTCCTTGACGGTCATGCCGGGCGCCACCCGTCCATCGTCCTGGAGCTCCTCGCAGGTGTACAGCTCCTCCCCGAGCGGGTACACGGGCGTACGGTCCCCGTCATCGGCGGAGACGAAGCGCTCGTTCAGCATCACCCTGCGGCCACACGGCGGCCGGGATTACGGCGAGCCGAGAACGGGCGCCAGACTGGTCAGGACGCCGGCCGGTGCTGGAGGCGGCACACGACAGCCATTTACAGAGCAACACCATTGGAAGCACATGACGCACCTCACCGCATACACGTCCCTCGCGCAGATGACATTGGGTCGTAATAGAAAATTAGGTCAGAAATATTCCTCTACACCTCTCCTCTACAATACACCTCTTGTTCGTGCACGAGGCTATTGGTTCCATGGTGGGAATCCATCCACAGCAAACACACAGCTAGACTGCTGACGTTGCTTGACAACTTACCGACATACGGGTTACCGACATACGTGTTTGATGTATCACAGACATGTCGTGTAACACGCAACATCAAATGTATTACGAATCGACACCCCGTCCCCCGATGCACAACAAGCTTGCTTTGATCCGTTGCAAAGCAAGCTTTGATCCGTTGACAGGGGTGCCGACGGGCGTTTGATCAGAACGGAAGCCGGATCTGCCTCAAAGCTATTTAGTGCATTCTTCATGCGTAGTTTATAACATTACCTTGACGTGATTTTGTATGCTAAAGTCTTGTCAGTTGTCATGCTTGAAACCGACCACTTTCGTTTCTCTCTCTATTTGCATATGTTAAGTGTCTCGGTATTACATAGCAGGGAGTGCCGCGCCTTCTCAGTTTTCCATTCCTAATTTGGGTGTCAAAGTGCGATTTTTTTGCGCCGTGGCGGACGGGCTGGCACACCTGGTCACCCGTTTCTGGGTGCCGTGAGGGAATCATCTGTTGCAAAAGCAAATTTTGACCTGCAAACAACTTTGATCAACGTTTGCCACGGCACACACTGCTGGAAGATCTTCCGTCCGGTATTATTCTGGAAGATGCTCTGTCCAGTATTATATATCCATTTGTCTGTCTTCTGATCTTACGTCCTTCTGTCCGGGCAAGATCGCTATGTACCGACGTTCCCGGCTCTGTCAGGGTACGTCTGGCGGTGGCGTCACGGATCCAGAGCTCACTGTTGATGCAGGTAGATCGCGAGCTCACCCCTGGTGCAGGTAGATCGAGAGCTCACCGTTGGTGCAGGTAGATCTCGAGCTCGCCCTTTGTGCAGGTAGATCCGGAACTCACCGTTGGTGCAGGTAGATCGCGAGCTCACCCCTGGTGCAGGTAGATCGCGAGCTCACCCCTGGTGCAGGTAGATCGCGAGCTCACCACTGGTGCAGATAGATCGAGAGCTCACCCCTGGTGCAGGTAGTTGCAGAGGATGTCAGAGTATTTGCTCATCCAGCTGTCAGGATCGGCGCAGATTGGGGACCACGCGGCGCCCGAGTGGAAGCTGGAAGAAGCGCAGCGTTAACCTGAATGGAAGGCTTGGGGAATTGCTTTCAGCAAGGTAGCGAGATGCGGAGCGAGATAGGTAGGTAGGTATACAAGGGAGCGAGACACTACACATATTTTCAATGAATTGGCCAGCGACCACTGTCTCTAGCTATCTTAGTATCGATCGTGCAATGCCAGGTCAGCGGTAAAATTTGGGGACGAACGTTAACCAACGTGCCACTATGTTCGGCACGATCCGTTCTGCCCTCTGACGTCATCTTTCAGCGTAGCCTCCAGCACCGGTTGCAGGCCATCCCAGCCAAGGGCAGCTTGCGAGTGCATATGGCGACCCGAAACCACCCCACCCCGGATAGGTGGATTGGAAGGCAGGAGCTTTAACCAACTGAGCTGTATGGACGGACATGAATCTGTTTTCCGATGAATGCTGTTCGAAATCCAAAGCACTGACGAATACTTTATCATGGACCTGTCAAGAATGGCTGTGGAAGCTTCGAGTTGAACAAGAATTGTGTCATGCACCAACGGCATAACTTGTTAACAGCGTCAGTGACTACAATGGGCTAAGAAAGAAACAATCACTCGTGCCCAGAATACATTGAACGCGCACTGAAAAACCGGTGAACAAGGCGGTGAAAACCTATATCTTCCTTAACCTACATCTCTACAATGAACGATAGTCTGATGTCATGTGACAGACAATTAACATTATCATGTCCTAATAGCGGCATGCCATCGAGTAACACGACGTCACTTGAGCCAACAGAGTTGACAAATAAAGCAAGCAAAGTAACAAAGATGTCAGCTTTACACTTACGAGATTAGACATCACCTTTGTCGTCACCAATATGTCACCCCATAGCAGGAAGAAAATTTGTGCAGCGCTTATCTGGTCTTGGTTCTTCATGTGGATGAAGTAGAGGCGTCATTAAGAAAAGAGTCCTGTGCGAGTCGCGAATCGCAACTCCACTGTTATTGCGCTCTCTCGTTATGTCATATGACACGTTGTTAACACGGAAACAGCCGTTGCTAACGGTTCCTGTCAACCGTTAGACGCTAGCCGTTGATGTTCACAGCCACCTCCAATGAGACAGCGTTTCACAATGAGCTGTTCTGCCGTTTCCTTCCACGGCCTCCGTCGGCAGTAGCTGTGCGCTGGCTACCCACTCTGATTTGATGGCCACCAGCCCGCGCAGTCGGTTCAGTGGCCGGCCCATCCTGTCCAGCTCGATCGTGTCCGTGTCGCTGCCAACCAGGGCAACTGCAGAGCGAAACAAATCACGTGAAAGGCCGGTGTGACCGTTTGTTGGGTACAAATATCTGCTCGCTGCCTAGCTTTGCCAGTCAGTCGAACGTAAGTCCGGCGAGAGCTATTATTTTCAAACAATAAGTGATGATGTTGGAAATGCTGAGCATTCACGATAAATGAACGGTCCAGTTATAGCATTGGTGTTATGTGGTTCATATCCTTACATTTGGGTGTTGAACAGTAAAATATTTTATTCAGAAATGCAGATAAATTTCAAAGTTACAAAGATACCATTCTCCACCACAATCACGCCTCCCAATGAAGTCGCACCTCTTGCCACAGTCCACCCCTTTGCACAATAACACCTCTCACCACACTCATCGTCTCTCATCACACTCACCGTGCCCGTCAGCAGGCCCGCCTGTCACTAATCGTGCATTTTACTAATCACGTGGTCAGGTGTCTGACCCCAGCCGCCATCAGCTGCGGTCATGATTTACCACATTTGCACATTTATCGCCAGTCACTCCTCTCACCAGCTCGTCAGTTCTCTCACCAGTCACGCCCTTCCCCCGGCCCTCTCACCGCAGTCACACGTCTCACCACGGCCAGCCCGCTCCGCAGTCATTTGTCTCACCGCAGTCCGCCTCGTCCTCGCCATATTCACAGTCGATGTCGCGATCACAGCACCAGCGCCTGGGAATCGTCCGCTGGCTGTGCCGGCAGTAATAGTCGTCCGGGTTCCGGGGACCTGCGGGGTGGTGGTGCTTAGCAGTACTCAGCGATACCCGTGTGCCAGTAACACAAAACACTAACACGCCAGCCGGGTGATATGCAATACTTTAACCGCCCGCATTGCCACGAAGTTCATATGCGCCCGGGTGGCCGGTTAATATCCTTCGTTTGGGTAAGGGTCAATTTGACCCCCTGAGATCTCAAACACTAAGATGGCTAGAGACGTCAAGTGCACAGGGTGGACTTTCAATTCTTGAAAGCTGTGTAAAGTTAAGTGCAGCTGCGCCGCCGAAAGGCCGAAAACTATGGCCGAAAATTAGTCTAGAAAAGCTATCGGGGGGGGGGGTCGAGTTCACCCCCACCCGAGCGCGTGCTGAAACCAGCCACCCAATGGCGGTGTTTTACAACCTATAAGGCCACTAGCAGGCACCCCCTCCACCCCACCACCACCAGGAACCTTCACATGAGGGAACTTTCCCCAGGGTGTTCGCCAGCACGCTCGGTGGCCCGTCGTGGCGCTGTCGGCGGGGATCACGCGGTCACGCCAGTGACCGCGAGGGGGGAGGCTCACAGCAGAACTCTTCGTCGGACGTGTCTGCCAGGTCCACCTCATGGTCACACAGCCGGTCCTGCTCATGTCGGATCAGGTAGTCGAGCGGGGTGCAGGAGGCTTCGTCCGAGAAGTCGCCGCATTGCGGGTGCAGGTCGCAGCGCTGGGATTCCGGCACACAGTGGGGCAGGCTGTGGACAGCGTGGCCAAAACAACGGTGAATGACTGGTAGCTGCACGACCTAAGCAGGTTAAGACTACGGCACACAGGGGGCAGGCTGCGGACAGTGCGGCCAAAATAACGGTGGATGACAGATGACTGCAGGGATCTGTCTTACTCAGACGTCTTTCTGGTTTCTAACGCTGGTTGCTGGTTTCAACTTGCCCTAAAAACGAAGCCATTTTTCTGGATTCCTCAGTTTGTTTTGCAACTACGGCTTCCAGTTTTTGGATTCAATTGGTTCTTTTACGGGCGCCGGACCCCGGTTCCTAGTCCTCGTTGGTCCTTTCCCAAGCATGAGGTACTAGTTCCTGGCTTCCACTCGTTTTTACGCAACATACCCGGTGTATGGTCAGATCGGTTTTTCACATACACCGGGCCATGGTCCTGGTTATTACCGTTTTTTCACAAACACCTGGCCCTGGTTCATGGTTTTCACCGACCCATTCACAATTATTAGCGCCTCATTTTTATTTTCATTGGCTTCTCACAAACAACAAGTCTTGGTGCTGGGTTCCCATTAGTTCACTCACAAGGGACAAACTTCCGGAGTGGTTAACGTATTTGGCTCCCACGTGGGGGCTCCGGTTCGAACCTCGGCTGTGCCATGGGCCCTAAGCGTTCCCGTCGTCTCTGCAGGCACCTGACACTCCATGACAGGCTGCGACGACGAGCGTCGCGTTCACTGGGACAAATTTACTCACAAAGCACCAGATCCTGCTCCCTGGCTCTAATCGGTGTGTTCTTCGTCTTCGATTGGTTTTGCCCGCCCAGAACACTTGCATGAAAGTACACTCAATGGATAAGCATTGGTTCGACTGCAATTCGAACAAGGATCGTGGTCCTTGCTGGTTTTCAAAGTCTGTACTTGTTTGGGTTTTCATGGATCATCAGCGTAATACCAGGCTGGATCCTAGTCCTGCTAGATCTCTGACTGCATCACTGGCTGGGTAGCAGTTTTTTGCTGAATCTCTCGGCCTAGTGTTACGCTGGACTCTGACTCCTGTTGTCTCTCTCTGCAAAACTCAGTGCTGGATCCAGTTTTGGCTACCTTTAATCTCATTGCAACCCCATCCACTGAGTTTTTGCTGGAGTTCGGCTAAATGTCAGCCTAGGGCATGAGTATCGGCTGGACTTCGCTGAACGCCGGTGCAGTTCCGGAGTTTTAGCTGGACTCCGGCTCAGTGGCAGCTTGGTTCCGAGGTTCTCCCTAGTTCCGGAACCAGACACCATTTCTTCACGAAAACTTTGAGACCTAGGCACATGTCTGGTTCAATCGTAACATTCTGCTTTAGTAAATCAGGCAAGGCAAGAAAGCCCAGGCATGTTCCACCTAGTGTGTTGGATTACCTGATACATTTAAACTCGTCGTCCGCACATAGGGCTGCCGCCGAGCCGTTGGAGACAGCGGGGGGGTGTTGCGCCGGCCGCGGATGTCGGCCGGGGAGTCGGCACGTCCGGCGGGCCGAAAACCTCATCGGCGCCTGAAACCAAGTCTGGTTTTACACTAGGCTGTGTACCTCGCACTCAAGAGACCCAAATGTTGTCCAAAACTTAAGAACGCACCACTGATCCAGTTGGCGCGAAAGCCTCAGTGCCTGTCGGGAGATCGCGGCGGATAAGACACACCGACAAGATAGCTCCGATCAGATAATTCACACAGCGTTGTCCATAAGGTGTTGGGAGACAGAAGTTCACGTTCGAATCGGTGTTCCATCACCAAATAGTTGATTTGACCAGGGATTGTTCAGTGCAGTTACTCGACGCGCGAAGCTATTTCATCTCGGGTCGTTCGGTGCGAGGCACATCGCCCGATGTGCCCGTGCAGTTATGCCAGGCCGTGTGCCTCGCTGTGACTCGCGGAGTGGGGGCTGTTAAGTGGCACGGTATCCTTTTCCAACACTGACAAAACAAAGCAGGGACCCTACTGCGTGGCACAGATGCATACGGAAGTAAAAACCACACTTGTCGCTCGGGATTGGACGGAAGCCCGACGGTCGCCGGACAGGTGGCGCTAGTCACGACGCTGGGCGGTCCCCTCGTGTCCAGCTGTCGGTGGAAGATCGTCACAGACGGCACCGGGCCGGCAGGCCACCTCCTCACCGTCTGCGGTGGCCGAGGATATAGTGGCGTTGGACACGGGCGGGCTGGCCGGCGTCGACACGGGCAAGATCTCCTCGCCGCCTGGTCCGCAGAATCTGCCGGTTGGGGTCATGCTAGCCGTCGTGCAGAAACAGCAGCCGTCTTCACGATGGCTTTCCGCAAACCACTTTCAAATCATTTCAAATATTTCGATGACCTTTGCGATATCGCCACAACCACATGGCGAGGCGTAACGTCACAACCACATGTCGTCACATGGCGAGGCCAGTGTCGAATAAGTTTAACATAGCGGTGATGCATCCATTGTACTTTTTCGACACTTTCCCACGCCCTGTCATGTCACTTAGTTTTGTCATCCTGAAAGGCATCATAATTTTAGTGGCATTGTTTTTTTCTGCCGATCATTAACGGTGAATAAAAGTTTTCAAATCAACACGGAATGCTGGTTTTCAAGCACATGTGTCATTTACTAGGTCAGTGGGTCATGAGCTCAATGACCAAACACCATCTTGGCTAAAATAAGATCAGTCCTATACTACTACATGATGTGCCAAAATTGTTGGTAGTGCCGCTCCCTGCACCGGGAAGCCAAAACTGCGACTGTTCGCTGCCAATCATGAAAGTTAGACTCATCTGGAATGCCACCAAATGGGCTTAAGGTGTCATGCTAACATAGTTGGATTCCTTAGACTTATAGACCGTCCATTTATTGCTGTTTTGTAGACTAGCTCAGTAAGGGACCACCCATCATCTGGACCATACTTCGGCTTTCCTCTCCCTGGCCCCTCCCCGTCCATCTCAGCCCAGTTCGTCGGCCCGCCCCCCCCCCCCCGACCTCCCCCCCCCCCTTGGCTGGCCATCACCTTTCATCCTCGGCGCCCAGGCAGTCCACTTGCTGGTTGCATAACTGGGACTCGGTCAGGCACATGCCGCCTCTCAGGTGGCACAGTCGCGTCGGGCAGCGCTGCTTCGGAAACCGGTCGGCGCCGGCAGTGTCCACGGCTGGCGAGCGGCCAGACGTGCTGTCAGGTCACCCAAACAGCACACTCTTCTGCCGGAGGCCCTCTTGGATGAAGCGCATGCCAAGAACTGGATGAACAGCTTAAATATAGCGCAATGTTTCTCTAACATTCTGCGCGCGCCCGAATCAATACCCACGGGTTCACAAATTTATTGCATAAATAACATTCGGCATGGTAATCACGGCGGTGAATCTTGTTTCCCCACATATTAAAAGCTATGGCCTAAAGATATCGCCGGCGATCAGAAGTCCAGTAGTCAGTGAAACTGTATCCATGCGATTTTGCTGAAATGCATACCATTAAACGGAGTGCTCTACAGTTCCATGGGGTTTTGAACTGAAGTAGCCATCTTGAAGATCACTCGGTACGGTTTACAGCCCTTCGTTCTTAAAGCCCAGGCTCCTCTAGTTTCTGAGGTTTGCGCCCGCGGAGATGGGAGCCTAGAGTACGTCAAGGTCACTTTGGCATGCATGACGATATAGTAATGCCATTCGAATAAAATAATTCCATAAGCCACGCGGCGACCACTCCAATAAAAATATATTGATAGAATCGCTTATAACTGGCGTTTGGGAGCACGATTCCCAGATATAACTGAAGTCAATTGGCTAAAATCACACACTCTCGCACAGCATCTCCGGGCAGGGCTCGCAAGTACAGCCCGTACCATCTGACCCGCATGACTTGCTACTTGGTGCAAATATTTTCGTCAACATTTCACTGATATTAATGTCCAGTGCCCGCTCAAACTACACGAGGCCACCCCTCAATTGCAAATATTTTCCTTCACGATGTTTGCGTTGGGCAAGATTTTGTTTACTGATACCGAGTCAACATTTTGATTGTCACCAAGTTCTAAAAAATTGGTACCGACAGCCTCCGTCGTGAAGTAATCAGTTGGTAGCCCGTCACTAACCGGGACACCCTGCTGCCTGGGACACCCTGTCACTCTTGTACTCTACAGCAATGGCTGACTTTTGAACGACCATCAATTGCATGCAGTAATCAACAAAGCATCGTGAGATACGCTCCATCTCCAAGCCGTCTGAAAACTGATGCTAGGGTACAACTCTGCAGACATAAAACAGCAATCCAAGATGACAAACGACCACACTGAGTCATCCCGACGATGTTCTTTACCGATTAAACCTCAAGCATACCAAATATAACGTAGCCGGCGACACGAAAGATCAGACCCGTGCCCCCCCCCCCTCCCCCCGCGCCAATTGCACCTGTGAACCGGTCGATCCAGTGCCGAAAGTAGGAGACCCGCGTGTACACGCCCGGGGAGTTACGCAGCGCGCAGCCGCGCCCGTGGGACACGATGCCGTGCTGCTTCCACCGGCCGTCTGCCGACCTGGCGGCGCCAAACATCGCGTGACATGCCATGCAAGATCACATTAGGTCACACGATGTTGCAAGGTCATCATAGGCTGCAAGAATTTAAGCCGAGGTTGTGGCACGTCTTACATTCTAAACCAGTTTATTAAGCCCAGCTATTGCAACAATGGCGGATGCTGCAGATTTTCCCCGGTTGCACAGACCGTAATGAGGCGGAGGAATTTTTCACTTGGCCTCGCACAATTTCGCAAAGCTTTCCTGGTCAGTAACACTGTTGGCAAACAGAAACGCACAAAACTTCACCGAAAATATCCTGACATGCCGTCGTCTCATAACAACACCGAGCAGTAAGCCGTTAACGGCTGGGCGTCGACCCCAGGTGGCGTTGACCGATCAGGGTGACCTAGGCTGGCGACGGCCGGCCCATGGGGTGTGAGGACTAAGACGGTACAAAGTGATGCGCTTTTGTAGGCTCCGGGATCTGTGTGTACTGTTGAAAATCTCACGGCACTTATCAACCGTTAACCCGCTGAACACCGATGAACCGAACACCCAACAACGCTTAAGGCCGCTTAACACCGACCCGCAGTCTCACGGTCTTGCCGTTGGATTGGAACTGACGCTATCGTGGAGTTGGAAACAGTGCGGCTGCAAGACCACGAACTTGCAACATCGCGAGTGCGTAATAACGAGGGGGGGGGGGTACAAATCGGTGGGGAGGCGCGACCCTGGTGGGGGTACGGACGTGGCGGCAGCGAGCCTTACCTGCAGAGCAGGGGCCCGCCGCTGTCGCCCTGACAGGAGTCCTTGCCGCCCTCCAGGGGCCCGGCGCAGATCTCGATGGTGATGTTGTCGTAGCGTTCGGGGCAGTAGGACAGCACCGGCAGCTCCACCTCCATCATGTCATCGACTGCACCCCAGGACAGATGGCAATCATCAGGGGCAACCGAACATCAGCGTGGCGCAATCCCTGAGCATCCAATGTGCAAACAGAAGCTGAGTGACACATTTGCGATTCATAAATGTCCTTTTAGTTGCTCCTGGCCTGTTTATTAACGCTTGTAACAGCGACGGTCATTAGTGTTACCGCTCACCGCTGTGAAGGAAAACCAGCCGTGAAAGTCTCCAATAGTGGAAGCCGAACCCAAACTTTCCATTCACACGGCAGACACACGGCAGCCACGCGGCAGACACGCGGCAGATACGCCGCAGACACGTCGCAGACACGCGGCAGACACATGACATTTCACAGCGAACGTTCACATGCAGCAAAGACAGACACTTCTATAGAACAAAATATGAGATGAGGCCTAGTGAGCACCATTCTGTCGCTAATGCCTGACTATAGTCACCTACACCCAGGATATCCCTGGCTGGTCTGGTCCACAATCACCTGCCGTCTTTCATCTCAGGGCATGTGATGGGGTTTCTTGATATCCAAGGAATCGCTGCAGCTAAATCCCCGTTGTCCCCTACGGTTCAGACGATGACTTGGCATCACCCAAAATAGCTGTTCGAATGCCATTCATCCACCATGCTCCTCTGGCGTGGGTGCGCTGCGGCTTCGTGCATTGTGCACATTGCCTCGCCGCGTGCATCACCCGGAGGAGTCTGCCACCATGTGGAGTGCGCCACCTACCCTCCGGCCTGTCCCAGCTGACCTGGTTGGCCGTCACTCACCTTTGGTGCAGTTCCTATCGACAGTCACCTACCCTCGGGGCCGCCCTGATCGACTTGGCCCCAGCCGACCACCGTGCAGCGCGTGCCCGGCGCCAGGACGTCGGTGGCCTCGGGCAGGCAGGCGGGCGCGCTCCACTGGGTCAGCGCCAGCGGCCGCGACAGCCGCACCAACGCTAGGTCGTTCGAGTAGATCCGCCTGCGGCCCCGGCATGACGAAGCCATAACGAGACACGGTGACGTGGAAGCCATGCAGAGAAAGCCGTGACAATGAAAGCATTGCTGGGTCTGGGTGCGGTGATCGCAATGTTCTAATATACACACTTATTATCACGCAAACGATTGTATTTTTAAGTAGTGGTCATCAGCTTGCAGCCTAAGAGAGCGTCAGTGCCGCGTCCTTAAATAAAGATCCCATTGCATTCCGATTATGTGTCATGTACAATCAACACTGAAAAGACCACCGCCTTAAACTGTGCTAGCACGCAAGAAAGTGTTGCAAGAGGGTGAGACAATTCAACACACACTCCAAGGTTTCTTGTCGTCTGTCTCCTTCCAAGGGGCGTAATAATGCAAAGAGGATCGTCGTTTTATGAGTTAGTTGTCAACTAACAGATATCAACCTTCATTGCACGGTGAGGAGCTTACTGCATTTCTATCACGGATAAACACAGCTTATACTGTTAATTTGGACTATATAGGCAATGTTTATTGATAACGTCGTTTAGCCAATACCGCCTAGTATATCAAACACTGACAACTGTCGATGTAATACGTATGTCTTAAGGCCTTGTTTTGCTGATAAGAAAGCGTCGTTTTAGCCTGATCCGGTACCTGTTGTAGTCCGGATGGATGATGATGTGACTTGCGAAGCGAGACTGTTCGTATGGAGCGAAGCTCTGCCTGCGAAGCATGCCAGCCTGAATCTCGTACCGGTATCTCTCGAACCTGAAAACACCAACGTTCTCAGCGACTCAGTCATGAAAATCTTGTAAAGTTTGTAAGCACGATGGCAGATATCAGAATGTTGATGCTTACAGCTTTCGCTCATCGAAACGCTGCTGCCCTCCATCGACAGCTGGAGGATGACAGTGGAGCGCTTCCACCACGCCAAGCGATTTCACAACTGAAAGCAGAGTCCTCTCCTCTCATAATGGTGTCCCCACCATCCAAAGCATTGGTTTTAGTCTTGGCCACCAGGAGCAGCTCGCTGCCTTTGAAACCATGGCAATGTTCTCGTCCATGGAAACCGTGTTCGTAGTGACTGAAACACGTTTTTCATCCCCACGGGCAGAGCTCCCACCACTGCAAGGAGTGTATCTGGCTCCCGAACTCGTGTTTCCGACCCCTGAGCAGCAAATTCTCAATCCGGAAGCGCTGTGTGCCTGCATCTTAAGCCGGGAAGTTCTCACATCGAAGCGATGTTTCACCAAGGCTCGAAGTAATGAGCCCCCCCCCCCTCTGTTCCCGCAACCGCGTGCTATTACTCCTCCACGCAGTGTTCTTAGCGCCCGGAGCTATGTACTACCACTCCTCTGCGCAGTGTTCTCAGCGTCCGGAGCTGTATGCTTTCACACTTTAACGCGGTGTTCTCAGCGCCGGAGCCATCTGCTTTCACTCCTTGTCGTAGTGATCTCAGCCTGTGACAGCGATGGGTGCCCACCTCTGGAAGCAGTGGGCGGCCGACAACACCCAGCGGGCGGTGAGCACGCTGCCGCCGCAGCTGAACACGCCGTCCCTGTAGATGGCCACCAGCCAGGGCCAGCGGCCGGGTGCGCTGCGAGCGCCGCCCACGATCCGACCGTCGTGGTCGCGTGCCGCCGGCCCCGGCGGCCGCTCGCCGCGGTGCCCCCGCCTCACGACCGGCTGGAACACCTCCACGTCCTCCGGTATGTCCGCGGGCGGCGGCGGCAGCCTCGGCGGCGGCGGCGGAGTCTGCAGGTCGAAGTCGGCCGCGTCGAAGGTCAGCTCTTGCCCCACGGTCAGACGGGTCTCAGCGGCGGCCAACCACTCCGGCTGTGGGAGGAGGGCGTGACAGGCCGCGGAATCCGAGTTTGTGTTCATTGGCAAGCCATCCCTGCTCACCGCTACATTTGGCCCCACATGATCTCGCCCGTCGCTTGGATTCGCGAAGGTCACGGGCCGTGTTAATGTAAATTATGTTGCCACTTCACACCTTCGTCATTTCTTGTCTCTCACGCGAGCCAATGTGTAGGACGTGCATGCATGTGTTGGCCAAAAGTATGCACACACACAGAGCCGAGAATGCGTCCCGGCGGACCGCTTACCACCCTTATGTCATTGGCACATGCTTGAGAACGAGGATTATGCCAGCAAACTGCGTAACTGTGCTAGCGGCGAAAGCCCTTAAGGATTATGAGAAAAGTTGGTATCCAAACAGTTTCTTTCCGTGCAAGGCCATGGGACTAGTTTCTCTTTGCCAAAGTTGCGGGAGTCGCCCCCTCTGCCATCAAACCCCTTTGTAATCCATAGACCTTTTTCGCATGAAGTCAGAACTTCTAAAAGCGATTCACAACTTATCTTGTCAAGTTGCATTTTGGATGCTCTTAACTGATCAGGAAATGCTCCATTCTCCAAGAACAATGGGGGATGACCCCTGTTCTTACGACGATTTGATGTGGGCACATCTCCAAAAGTACATCCTGGCCTAGTCAACTAAATATTAAGACCGCTGCGCCAGTGAGCTATTTGATGGTCTGGTCTGTTACCCCGAATGCGTTTGACAGAAGGCTGCCTGAGACAATGCATATAGCTTGGTAGTCTAGTGCCACGCTTTCTGCATGGATGCTGAAAATTGTTGCGTGATGCGATCCCACGATTAACGACAGTACTCGGATCGGTGTCACGTAAGTATGTACAATCCCACGATCAACGACAGTACTCGGATCGGTGTCATGTAAGGTATGTACAATCCCACGATCAACGACAGTACTCGGATCAGTGTCACGTAAAGTATGTATAGCTGTTCGGAAAATTATATATACATATATATATATATATAATAAATATACAAATACACACATATATGTATAATATATAATAAATACTGTCTTGGCAGAATATCTTCCTTTTAGCATGTTCCATTGAAAGCGGCTGCCGATTCCGCATTAATGGACTCCTTGGCGTTTCGTTTGACGGCGAGAGCTCTGGGCGTAGCAGTATCGATGAGACAAAAGATTATTCAAACATAATCACTTGCATGATCGTCTACCTCTGTACATTCTAACGTTTTGAGACCTTATCTCATGGTCGGAGGACTAAAAATGTCATAAGTGGTAAGTTTTGAGCGTTGTGAGGACGAAAGTTGTGTATTGCTAACAGTTGTGTTGCGTATTTGTGCATATGTGTGTACCATAGTGGTGATCGATAGCTGCGGTCACTTTGCTGACAAAAAGTGATTGTGGCCGCCAAAAACTCATGGCTTAGAGGCATGCATTAAGAACGACAAAAACTGCTCGGGATTTGTTTTCGGTAGCGTCTTTCTGAGAGCAGTTCACGAACTTTCAGTGTCTTTCTGCAACAATTTTTTTATTTACACTGTCAAGTTTCTGCAAATATTTTGTTGCGATAAAAGTAAGCCTTGGCGTAAATTATGAGGAAATTATAGATATTTTACTTGGTTCAGATTTATTTAGATCGAGAAGCTGCTTTTCTGAGTCAGCATTATCTACCCGCGGGTCGCAACCGGACAAAAAAACTTGTAAGCTTTTCCAACGGTTTAATCCCTAAGGGTTTCATCAGTTTGAAACTACTGGGCACATGACCAAGGCGCGTGTTGTCAGCGGCGATAGTTGTTTTTTAGATCCAAATGAAGAAAAACGAGATGGGATTCCAGAGCCCGTCCGTGACGCGGGAGTTATTGAAAGGCCCCCCACATTAGGATCATCTAAGGGCGGTTGGTGAGGCCTCAGCGTGAGCGCTTCAGCCTGATTCGTGACCTTTGTGAGCTGGCTGACCTGGCTGCGCGGCTCCCGTGACCTGCCGGAGGTCTGCTGCCCCGCGCTGTGGCCGCACTCTGGCGGCGGGCACTTGACGAACACGGCCGAGCCGGTCCGGCACGCGGCCACCTCGGAGAACGTCCCGCCCAGCTCGGCGAACGGTCCGTCGTAGCCCGGCCGGTACGTGCGCGGCCCGGACGAAGCCGTGCCGCTGCGGCAAAGAACAGCGCTGAGGGGCATTGGCCGGGGCACTGTGGTGGCACTGCAGCCACGTGGGGCGCTCGCGCAAAGGTGAACACTAGAGCAGCGAAGGCGTGCTAGGTTACTGGTGATCACTGAAATGCCGTGGGATGACTCGGTCACTGCAGACTGCGGTACTGGAGCGTAGCGGGAACATGCTGTCACTGCGTGCATTGGGGCTCACCCCCCCTCCTCCATCCAGATGGCTGGGACTTTCAGTATCGTAAAATAAATTACGTTTTAGGCATACAGATTGTGCAAAAAGTTGGATTGGCTTGCAATCAATGTTTACTGATCCATCCACGACTGAGTGTTAATGGCAGCACACCAAGAGGCAAACGTGCGCAACGCAACGGCGTGCCTTACAGGTGATGGTGCAAGGCTGCGGAGCAGCTTCTTTCCCCGAGCGGACAAGACATGGTGGGCGACATTTCACCAGATGCAGCTGCGCCGCACTAAACTTGGCAATGCAGTCCTTTAGCAAGGCGACCCAGGGCATTGTCGTAACAATACATACGCAACTACAGACATTTGGAAAACAACCGTACTCACATTCACTGCATCGCATTGGTTTTTCCAGATAAGTGGCCTACAATCTGCTGCAGCGTCAATCACCCAGTGTTTTCTACCTCAGGCAAAACAACTGCGATGCATATCAAGCTGTCGCACGAGCCATGTTCCCGTAGCATTGGAAACAATCATCTGTTTGGCGTTTGAGATATTAAAGGCAGTTGCCAACGCACCTCATGAAATTCTTGTGGATCACATGCTTGTTAAAAACTGACGTGATTTTATTCGGTATTAATCCCGTAAATTATTTTCCGAAATGGACACAATACTCACATGGTGTATCTCCCGACAATCTGCTCGCAAACTTCAATGGCGTAGAGCTGCATGTCTTGGCCGTTGTAGCATACAGGAAGCCATTTGCCGGATATTTGACGATGCATGAATCCGTAGTTGACCACCAGGGGGTACACCTGCAAGGATGTGGATAAGGATATGTGTGTATGGAAACGAATGCAAGTAAACAGGCGTCACGCATTCCGCTTCCATTCAAAAATACAAGCGAGTTCAAGAAAACGGGGATCACGCTATCACGCATCAATTACGCATGCAAATGATTTCAATTACACAGGCATCACATCACAGGCACGTGTAAGGCATCACTCATACATGTGAACGATTTGAAGGTAGCACGCATCACACGTCAAGACATATTGTCCGTGGTGATTTTCCACCCAAACAGGAAGATAAGTAAATCTGTTCTTATAAAGTGTCCGGCGACCAAGCCTAAACGTGCATGGCTAGTCATGGTTGATTATGAGAGCGTGATACATGCCCCGATGTGTGATGCGTGCAAGCTCAAATCGTCATCTTTCTATGAGTAAATATCACGTGCATTAAACATGGTATTTCATAAGCGTTCTCTTCAGGAATGTGGCATATATGAACGATGCTATCGTCCCCCCCCCCCCCCCCCTCCTGAGAGCTTTCCCTTTAGCCCTAATACCAGCGAATCCCCCAGGCATAAATTTGAGTGTCAGCCAGTCTCCCCCGAAATCCAGTTCTGGCGAATCTCACGGTTTTTTGGTAACGACCCCTACTGCAATGCCGTGGCCATATGTGTATCCTGCCATCGCACGCCCCCTACGCCTGGCGACCGACAGCTATTGCCAAAAACCCGTTGGTTGCACCTTAAGCGCACTATCTATAGTGTTATCAACGTAATCATGTGTGCACGCAGCTTATGATGTGATGTGATGTGACATGCAACATGACGAAACCATGTGACGTCAACGGCAGCTGCGACATCACATCAGGCGTGTTGCACATATTGCGTGTTTGGGCGCGATATCACCTGTTGAATGTGGTGCCGACTGCCTGAATATGGCGTCACGTGCCAGAGCGTGACGTTGCACACTTCGACGGGACATGACATCCTTAACTGTGACGTCACATTACGGTGCGTTGCAGTGCAACGTCACATGTCGATTGTGACGGCTAACCGTCACCTGTCGAGGCGTGACGTCACTGCTGAGATGGAGGCAGGCCTGCTCATCTCGGCCGTTGGTACAGTCCTCCTTGCCGTCACAGCGCAGTCGGCGTGGCACGCAGCGTCCCCCCAGCGCTGGATGGGACGAGCACGAGAACTCGTCCACGGCGCAGCCTGCCGGCCGGATCAGGTCAGAGTCAGGTCAGAGCCAGGTCAGGGCCAGGTCAGGGCCAGGTCAGGGCCAGGTCAGGGCCAGGTCAGAGCCAGGTCAGAGTCAGGTCAGAGTCAGGTCAGAGCCAGGTCAGGGCCGGGTCAGGGCCAGGTCAGGGTCAGGTCCAGGTCAGGTCAGAGCTTGGGCTATCGCTCGGGTCATAGCTAAGTGGTCGGGTAGCACGCACGTCAGGTCTCGGACAAGGTTTCAGATCATACCGCTGATCAATGGCTAGATCACCAGTTGGGCTATCATTTCAGCACGGATGAGGTCGGCAGTAAGACATCGGTTGGTCGCCAGTTCGTGGGTTAGGTGACGGCTCAGATAACGGGTTCTGTGGAAAGCTACGCAACAGGCTGACACCCGTTATTTCACGTGCAAGGTCAAGATCAAGGTTCACGGGTAATGTCGTGGGTAGTTGATGGGGAAGGTCATCAGAAGGTCATGAGTTAGGCCATCAGTTAGGTCAAACACTCAGTTACAGATTCGGACATGGGCTGGGTGACAGGCTATATCACAAGTTGCCATCGGTGAGGTTCAGTGGAGTCGTTTTTTTTGTAATTTTATAAATATATGATAATCCCAGAAACAAAATTATGGGTTTCGCTATTTCTCATTTCGTGGGCGAAATCGACGTATAACCTAAATCAATTATGCAGCGTCAAAAGACGCATTCTTTTACCCATTGATTTCGTGAGACCTTACAATAAACACATGAATAAGATAGTAGCATTAGCCTTATTCCTCGGGAAAAAAACAGGAGAATAAAGAATCTTTGTTATTGCAACAACCGTCTACACCAACGAAGTCCGGTCGGCTAGCCAAAACCCTTAAATTAATCTTAACACGCTCTCGGGTGGGGGTCAAATTGACCCCTCAAAGGTTTTTCCGCGATGGTTTCAGAACGGCGAGATGTAGCCGCCCAAATGTTTTCATGGCTGTAGCAAATTGAATAGCGGATCGTTCGGCATCAAATATTTAGGTATAACTTGTATGGTCGCTGGCCTATGGTAGGTCAAAGTCAGGCCATGGTTTCAGCGAAGGCAATTTCCTACGGAATCGTTCCATCTGATCCAACAACGCAGTGTTAGACGAAGCCATACATCTCTGAGATACTCCTTAGGAGAAACAACAATTGAATGAGCAAATTAAATTGACCTAGAGTCAGAGCAGTCAGGTCAGACCACGGTCAAGACCAACCTGTCTTATTACTCTAGGGCCTGCTGTATGAGGTAGTTTCCGGCGCCCATTTCGATTTTATTGATAGCAGTAACCGTATTATACACCTTGCATTTTCCTAAAGATCACAATAGGTCACTGCCCTAAAATGACCCGGGTAAACATTTTGTTTTTAGGAAAATACTGCCTAGCGTAATCAGAGTTTCTTATTCAAATGCAAAACTCAAGGCAGCTTTGAATTATTTCGGTTGCCGTGACCCTAAAAAGGTCGAAAAAGGACACTGGCCTTAAAAGACCATGTGACGTTTTCCTTACGACAGTTATCTAGGTTCTAGGTGCCTTTTGGAGACCAACCTGTAATTTGACCATGTTTGACCTTATTTTCACTCGAAGGTCATGACCTAGAAATCTCAAACTTTGACCAAAGTGAGCTCACGCACAGTTAACACACTCTTATTCAGTGTCTCTAGCTCTCTTAGTTCCTGAGATCTCAGTGGGGTCAAATTGACCCCCCCCCCCGGCCCCCCACCCGAGCGAAGGGTATCCAACTGGTTGCCCGGGCGCGTGTTAATCGTGGTCAGCGTTGAATAAAAGCTTTAATTTATCTTAAAGCAACGGCATGCAAATCCATCGGTTCGTCTCATGAAGCTTAGCTTTATTTTGCACGCCCGCGCTTTGGGATGGGTGAGCATAAGCTACCAGTCAAGCTTTGTTGCAGCGCATTTTACGGTCACTGTGGATTATTTCAGCTGTGTACTACACTTATAGCATACTCATAGTGCTGCCATGTTTTTCACGAACTAGATACGATGTACAGTACTATTTGCAAAGAATATATTCGCCATTTATACAGCGATAAAAATCAGAGCGGTTGCGGGTAAAATAATATGCCGTTGTCTTTAGACGACTGCAATTCATATCATTAGCGGCTACAGAATCCAATCTGCTTTGGAGCGAGAAGTTCTGAAGGGACGGTCTTATGACTTTCTGGGAGGAGGATCGCTTGGGACCATTGTCGGAATGGTGCTGCCCAGACATGTTAGTGTTCGGCTATGATAAACAAGCTGGGGAAAACAGGACTCAGACAATCACGGAATTTCATATACATACTGCACTGTTACAATGACTTCATTTGATCACCAAGCCATTGTAACTAGACTTCCAGTGGCGGAGCCAAATGGAGGACGCAACTTTGAATTAAATCGGCTAAAACAACGAAATAGCTCGAGCATCGATGGATTTATACAGATGGTTTGGATCGGCCAGAGATCCAGGTCCAGGTCAAGGTTGGCAGGTCCCGTTGTATCATAATACGCACACTTTCAAAGGCAACTGATTTGAACGTTTCAACTGAAGTCTTTTTGCCGAAACTTCTAAAATTGATTGCATTTGATCTGTCAGTGATGCACCAAAAGAAGAAAAACCACCAAACTTGTTTGTTGGCGGTTGCCAGGTAGCGCATTCATAGTTACTGACGTGCGACCTATGCGACCCGAGCAATATATGACCTGCGTTGCAAACAAGGTCGTTTGAGGCATCACGACCATCAATCATCGATCATCGCAGATCGGAGAGGGAGAGGGGGAAGGGCCTTCACAATATAATACAAATTGTCCCCCGTGGGTGGGTAAATCGGTTGAGATCATCATTATCGGTTAGTGCAGAATCACCGGTCAGGTTCTAACCCTACTTCGCAGGTCAGCAGACATCAATTAGGTCGCAGATTAAGTCGCGGGACAGATGACCGGTTGGATCCTCCGCTGGATTACAGATCAGACCACCCAATATCCTTATCTTTGTGTCACTGGTTGGGTCACCTTTTAGGTCATAAGACTGGTAAGTTTACTGGTCAGGTTAGTTTACTGGTCAGGGTAAACGTTAGGTCACAGATTAGATCACAGATTGCATCATGAGCCAGGTCGCGCTTAACGCATCCCCCAGGTGACGAGCTGGCCATGCATCCCGTTAGAAGCGAGGTCAATTGAAATCATTGCTTGGTCGGTCAGTTTCCTAGTCAACATCTAAAGGTTGTCACCACAGCAATTTAACATGGAACAAACAAGACGTCAAAAGGAATCCAAACCCAAGCCACTAGCCACAAGGGAGCCAGGCCGAGGACATCGTGCTCTCCACACAGACCACGCCTGGTGTGCATATCACAGGGAGGGAAGGAATTCGCCACCCACCGTCGCATGCAGACTCGTCGCTCTCGTCGGGGCAATCGAAGTAACCATCGCACTGCAGACTGGGCGCCAGTCGGTCCTGCGCATGCGCAGTTCCGCTCGTCCGAAATGTCGGCGCATTCGACGACGCTGTCGCAGCGCACGGCGCACAGGTTCGGCTGGCCGGGGCAGACCATGGAGCGCGGGCCGAAGCAGGAGGCGCCTGCGGCAGGCGGTCTGAGTGGGCACCACTGAGGGGCTGACGGCGCTCAGCAGCGGGGAGCCACGCAACAGCACCTGACCGAATGGGGCGCGACGCAGACACCGCGGCGTTGAAGAAGAGACCTCGCAGGTAAATATGCAGCTGAAAATGGGATCTCTGCATGACAAAAGCCCACAGAAACGCAACACGGCAATTCCAGGGCTGGAGCACCGAAAGTCCCGCAAAAGTGTGGTATAAAAGGCATACAACACTGATTTACGCAACGCCAGAACGGGTGCAGCCAGTGACATGTTTGACAGCATTACTAATGAACTTCTCTTCAAAGCGACACTCACCCCTCCGGCTTTTAGGCGCCACCACGTCGCCCAACATCTGCGCTGGCGGGCGCAAGTGCAGCGGCAGCCAATCGGGCTCCGAGCTGTAAGCCACAGCGGCAACCGGCAGTCCGGGCAGGTGCAGCCCATCGTCCTTGACAGCAACAGGCCCATCGATGGTAGCCGGCCGACCGATGCTGGGGGACAGCTCCGGGCCGGCCTAGGAAGCCGGGTGACCTCAGGCCCGCGCCGTTCCGTGTCCCGCTCCGTGCGCTCCGTGCCTCCTGCCGCCGGGCTGGTCGTCGCGTTACTCGGCGGCTGTTGCTGATTGGCTTCCGGGGCATCGTCGAAGGTTTGATTGGCTGTGTGGTTGTGGACATGGCTCTGATTGGCTGTAAGTGCATCGCTATGTTTCTCACTGGTTGACGGCGCATCGCCGCGTTTTTGATCGGCTATTAGTATGGCATCGCGGTTCTCATTGGCGGCTGGCGAGTGAGACCGCCGCTGGTCGGCCGTCGCCTGCGGAAGTAGCCAGGGCGGTCTGCTGGACATCAGAGGGATGTCAGTGTCGCCGGGCACCCAGCCGCCCACCGGCCGGTGGTCGACGCCAGTCGTGGTCCGCTCGCTGGTCCCCCCGGTGGTCACCTCGGGACGCGTGCAGCGGACCACCGGCGGTCGCGGAGGTCGCGCCGCCCGCGCGCTGGTTAGCCACTGCTTCGAGACCACTTGTGGCTACCTTCAACGCATCGTCAATCATTTGGTGCGTCGTCGGTCCTCCAGTTGCAATCGGTGACTTGTCTAGCAGTCGTTTTGTGCGTCTCCGGGCTCTCAGTGGTCGTCGCGGCGGACGGGAGCGAGGAAGTGTATCACTTGTTCGGTAGATGGCAGTGGCGATGTGTCGCCAGGTGGCGGGCCTGATGGCAGCGCCGGTTCTCAGGTGCTCGGCGTCAGTCGTCGAGGCTCGGTGAGACGCGCTTTTTCGTTTTACTGGAATGCCATATCAACATTCAGGCTTGAAGCTAAATCGTACCGCACGCTTTCACTCACCTCCGGACTAAACGATCCCTAAACTCGAAGTAATTCGATGCAAATGGTCTGAATTTAGTCAGAACTACACAGCAACTGGACAACCTCACATACGGAATCCAAATCCACTGTATATGACATGTAAATGAGACATCATAACAGAGGAAAGCACCTTCACCCCGTGCTGCTTCACTTAAAGGCCGTTTTTAATGTCACATTTCGGCAAGGCGAGTCACTGGCATGAGTGTCACTTTGTATTCTTTCAGGGGCCTGATTCTAATCCCCCTCGTGCTGAATTGAGCCTGCTCAGTGCCTCTGACCACACACTCCACCCCCACCCCTATTCATATGGACAAAAGAGAGAACACCGGGCCAATAAAATGCAGCAAGTGTCGAATTGGTGGTACGCGAGGAACCTTAACGCATTACTGGTAATGACAACATCACCATCACACATCACCACCAGATCGGTTTAAAATGGAAGTTCATCCTTTGAATTCTTCTTTTTTACCCGACCATTTTTTTAACCTTCGTCTTTCCATCAAGGACGCAAATTAAAGTGGGTGAATTCCGGGGAGAAATCAGGATTTGGGGGCACGTTAGCTCAACTTCATTGGCTCAGCCCCCAAACCGATTTTAAAAAGTGACACCCCTGTGAACCATTTCAAAACGAAACTATCTGTCTCTGAGCATCGCACCACCACTCACATTCTGTGACGAGAACGCCAACACAGATGGCCACCAGCACGAGCGTGGCCAACAGGATGAGCAGGCCGCAGCAGATGCGGCGATTGCGTTCAGCCTGCCGAGCGTTTTCAGACACCAGCGACTGGTTGCCCTCTCGCTCCTCTGCCAGTCAGCAGAGGTCAGCAGAGGTCAGCAAGAGTCGTCCTGCTGCCCAGAGTGCGAACAGAACTCGACCGTCATAGCTCTTTCCACCTGGCCGTGAACGCTCGGAAAAGTCTGTCATTGCAAGTAAGATAGCAGACTTGCGTCGCGTTGCTCGACGGGCGGGGTTCAGGTGATATATGCCAGCCTTACATTCTCTCGCATCATCTTTGCTCTTATAGTGTGGATATGATTAATTGAAAGTGTTTTCCCACGTACGTTTTAACTATCATGTATTGGGGACACATCGTGGAGATTGTGTTGTGCTATCACGTATTGACGTGGACACGATATAGCCCAACGAATGAAAAAGAGAGGCCAAGAGAGGCCAAGAGAGGTTAAGGGAGAGCTTGGTAGAGTTCTGCAGAGCTCAGAAGTGGTTTAAAGTGGTCAGCAGAGTTCGGAAGAGTCCAGCAAAGGTGGGCAATGGTCAGTAGACGTCATCAGATCTCATCAAGATTCGACAGAGGTCGGCAAAAGTTTACAGAGATTAACAAAGATTAACAGAATTCAGCAGAGTTCAGCGGAGTTCTGTAGAGTTCGGCAGAAGTCATAAGAGGTCATCAGAGGCCAGTGAAGGTCGGAAGAGGCTGGAAGGGCTCGGAGGAGGCCAGCACAGGCCGGCCTAGGTCGGTACAGGTCGACATATGTCATAAAACTAGCTAAGGCTGGCAGAGATCGGCAGAAGTATGCAGAGATGAAAAGAGAAGTTAGTGGTCAGATCAGGTCAGGCAATGCCGGGGATGCTCTGGCAAAGTAAAAACGCCGCAGAATGTGCGGAGTGGTCCGTAAGGATCAGACAAGACCATCTCAGTGTTAGAACAGGTGTCCAGGAGTGTTAGAAGAGGCAGTATGGTGTAAGGCGAGTCAATCGAGAAGGAAAGATGCAACAAAAATAATCAGAGCTCAACAGACGTAAACAGACATCAGCAGAGATCAGCACGACTTGCATGGCGACCACTCACCAGGCTGTGCTGAGCGGGAAGTTCTGCTCACGCTCCGCCTCCTGCCCGGTGGCATGATCAGATGCTGGCCCGTCACAGGGTGAGGCGTCATCTGGAACCTGTGGTGTCATTTGGTCATGGTGGAGTCATCTGCAGCTGTCATTTTACGATATTGGGACAAATGTGGAATCTTAGGTATAGTGTGATGACTAGAGTTATCTGAAATCTGATGCACATTTTGATGCTGGGGTCATCTCGAATCTGGGCTACAGTCTGAGTTCCAGATGGTCAGATGTGTGGACCGGACTCATGCGAGTCCAGTGATTTCCCGCTTCCACACCAGCCGGCGATCACTGACCTTGCTTTCTTCTCAGACTTGGCCTGGACAAACACGTCCGAGCCGGGGGTGGACCCGTCCGCGACAGAGGGTACGCTTGCCGACCGGTCGGTTGCCAGGGACTGACATACCCTGCGGGCGCACCAGGGTCACCAGACCAGACTTCCCAGCGACCACGGCGCGCGCGCACAGACGTAACGCGCACAGACGTGCCTTCAGGCAGCTTGCGTCTGGTTTAACAACCACACTGGCACACGGATTCCTGAGCGCCGAGCCATACATGAGAGTATGCACTCGTTTAAAGGCGTATTGGCTGAAATGCACGCACATTTGCATATACGTCAAGAAAACTACAGGAAAACAGACACATCCACACTTATGCGAACCACCTACAGACCCTGACGCGTGAACGGATGTTCAGCGGACACGCAAATACAGAGAAGAAGCCGAGCCGATGGCAGACAGGCCTTTGTACACAGATACGAGCACGAAGAAACACACGGGCAGTGGGGCCCGACGGAAGCCTACCAGCGAGGGTGCACACGCCGCTGTCCTGAGTCGGGTTCTGAGGTGGCGCCACCAGAGACGTTACTGCGAGCCTGCGAATGGCGGGCGAGGGTTTACCAGCTGGCAAGCTGAGCTGTGGCACGGCGGCTGGCGACCAGAGACGACGGGCACCAGATGGAAAAAATAGACGCCGCGAGCAGGTTGCCATGCCCGATGAGGCGCAGTTCACGCGATCTTCTTAGTGCACTACCGTTTGTCGCAAATTAAGGCGCACCAAATATCGTTGGGCAGATCAGGCAGGGCCGCTGCCAGCGGCGCCGAGGTCGGCCTGCACTCACCGCGCCCAGCTGGCGCCGCTCCGCCCGCTGGACGTGGATAGCTGCCGCTGGAGCCACGGCTGGGCGACTCGATAAGCGGCATGACCGCCCCGCGCAGCGGCCGGCTAAGACTGCTGCAGAGACGGTCCGACGCGGCCCCGCAGCCCGGGGCCAGGCTGGGTCACGTGACCAGACGCCTTGGCCCGAGGTCAGGCGCCAGGTCGCCGCCGAGGAGCCCTCCCCTCTCTCAGCTGGCCACCAGCAATGCGCGGGCGTGCAAGGTGTGCGCAGGGGTCCATGGCGAGTGCAGGGATCATTTGTCGGAAGAGCTGTGGCGGAGTCTGGAGAACAACGGCACATATAGGCGCGTGTATGGATGCTGTCTTGACCCAGGGACGATCCCAAGGGGAACAACGAGCAGGGGCGGCGCCACAGATTCTGAGTTAGGGGTAGCATTTTCCAGGGGGCCTCCTAAACAAAAAGGGCCTCTTTAAAGGGAGCCTATAGGGCAGCGTTGCATTCAAGGGGGGGGGGGGGGCGCCGTGAGCACGTGGTCCGTTATTAACTCATTACGTGTATCATCAGTAGGGTACAACAGCGGCGGTTTTTGAGGCACACTGCACGGCGATCTACGATCTGAGGGGACAATGGGCGACAATCGACGATACCGCGCAACGCGCGCGGCGGGCCAGCATTGTTGTACTAGCACGCGCTCGGATAGGGGTCAAATTGACCCCCGGAAGGTCTTTCCGGGATGATTACCGAACGGCGCAGTGTAGCCGTGCCAACTTTTGCATAGCTGTACAAAATTGAATAGCGGATCTTGCATTTGGCATCAAAAATTTAGGTGTACCTTGTAAGGCTACTGGCCTATGGCAGGTCAAAGCCAGGTCATGGTTTCAGCGAAGGCAATTTCTAGGGAATCGTTCAGTTTGATCTAACAACGGGGTGTTAGACGAGGCCATACATCTCTGAGATACTTTCATAGTTAACACAACAATTTAATGAACAAATTACATTGACCTAAGGTCAGGTATGAAGGTCAGACCAGAGTCAAAACCAACCTGCTTTATTGCTCCAGGGATTGCTGTATGGGATAGTTTCTCGTGCTCATTTTGAACTCATTGATAACAGACACCGCATTACACACCTTTCATGAGCTTCTTAAATGTCAGAATAGGTCACTGACCTAAAATGACCCAGTTCAACACTGTGTTTTAGGAACATGCTGCCTAGCTTAATCTTTGTTGCTTATTCAAATGCAAAACTCAACGCAGTTTTGTATGATTTTAGTCACCATGACTTTCAAAACGTCAAGAAAAGCCACTGACCTTAAATGAGCACGTGACCTTTTGCTCAGAACAGTTATCTAGACTCAAGGGGCCCTTTGGAGACTAAACTGGAGCTTGGCCTTGTTTGGCCTGATTTGACCCAAAGGTCATGACCTAGGAGCCTCAAACTTTGACCTAAGTAGGTCCACGTACAGGTCAACACACCCTGTAAGTTGGGTGTTTCTAGCTCTCTTGGGGTCAAATTGACTCCCTCGAGCAAAGGGTATCCAGCCGGCCACCCGAGCGGTTTTAACAGAGCCATGCATCACACATGTCTGGCCAAAGCACATAGAGCTATATGCCGTCGTTCTCAGAATCGAACAAGAAACATGAAAATTTAGGTTTCGTGTCACTAGGTGGCATGGCCTCGTACATGCAAGCATATAAAGCTGAAAAGTCGTTTTTTGGAAAACGACAAGATTAACTGTACAGGACGGTGTTTAAATCTGGTCTAGATGAGGTGAAATCCTTTTCACGCATGTGAAACTTGGAAGTCCGATTTGTATGTGATTGACGATCTTTGACCCCGTTCTGGGGATCATTTCAGTGGTATCTTGCAAATGTACTTACCATTAGGTTTATATATATATATATATATATATATATATATGTATATATATCGATATATATATGTATATATATGTGTATATATACATATTCATATACGTGCATCAAAGATGCATTGTACATTTGCTGTGGTGGTGTGATCGGTGGTTGCAGACAGCAGCCCGTTGAAAGCGCTTTTGACCGGGTTGGGACATTGAAGGTATACAATTTCCGGCCAGTTGACGCTATGACCCGCTAGGCTTGCGACCTCGTCGATAACTAATACTCAAATGCGGTCCAAATGGTGCATAGCATGACCAGATGGTACATGACCATGACCTTGGAAATGGCTCAAATTGTACATGGCACATGCCGCTCGTTGTTAATTTTTTCTCAGATGCATGTCTTATGTAAGCTTGCATAACGTCGATAGGGTTAAGCTAGAAAAAAGGGTTCAGCCACCGGGCTGTTGTTATCAGAATCACATCTGTCGATATCGATTCGAAAGCCAAGCCTTACCGCTGAAATTCTGAGGAAGAATGGATTCTGTTGAGATGTAACAAAGCACAAGCTCGTAATTTTCAAACGCGACTGAGGACCTATTGCTTCTCATCGCGTAAGGAAGCGCGCGAGAAAACATCATGTGGAACTGATTTACTTTCTAAGCAGCATGTGTATGTGTTTCTGCATTTGTGTTACAAGGGTGCGGATAGTGCCATGGTTAGCGCGTCTGTGTTAGCCGCTTACACATATGGGGAACCAGGCGTACGGGGTTCGATTCTCTGCGGTATCCGCAGTTCCGGCCGGGGCGAGAGGCAGGCGATTCCATATGGCCTCAGCAGCTGAGAGCGTCGTTAAAACCCAGTGACGGCATCTGTGTTAGCAAATAAAATATATTCAGATTCAATGGGACAATTTGCATTGTGATGATTTACACCCACTCGTATGGCGGTTTATTTTTGGCGGAGATGTAGGCGGTTGCCTGCATTCACTACAGGCACCACCGGCTCCTAGAGCGCCCCCCTCCCCTCCCCCAGCTCATGCTGCGCCAGGTGAGGCCAGGGGTCCACGATCTTATCACGACCGGCGAGGCGCAGGACAGTCCAGTTGACCACGTGCAACCGGTCAGTCTGCCGCGGAAGCTAGGCCCACGGACAAACACCGGCGCCGTTGCGACGTGCCTGAGGGATTACGCAGTGTCTGCGCCCATCGGTGGGCAGCCCGCCTGCCAAGACACTGTCTTTTGACGAGGAGGAGACGTTGACCATTTCAACTTGACCGCCATCAGCGGTGTGCAGCATGCCTGAGAGTCGCTGCACTGTTTGCTGCCGTTTCCATGAGGGCATGGACGGCCGGCACCGCGGCGTCCAACAGGGGTGCAGTCCGCGGAGGGACGACAGGTGTGACGTGTGGCCACAGCGTATCTTTACGTATACCGCTGGAGGAAGCGGCCCGACCAGGGTGACTCGCTGATGCGTGCCTGCCGACTCCCGCAGAAGCACTGCTGCATGGTGCTGCCCCGGGTGGAGACACAGTGACTATTCTGCTTGGCCTACAACCAGGATTTACCCTTTATGTGAAAAGGAATTATTCACCTCCCCATTCCTACCCAACCGGTCGTCGTGGTTGTAACGCGTTGTAACGCCTGCTGCGGCGTCATCGTTCGTGGTGCGGTACTGGGATTTTGTCGATATTTCGAAATTACGAATCATTCAGTAAAGTGTACTCGGGTTAGCGGAACGCGTTTCCCATCCCGGCAGTGGGGGCCATAGCAAAACGAAATCAACAGAATTTGACTTGGCAACAGGGCGGGGAAGCGTAGTGACAAATACGAATCAAGGCGTACATCTCCGAGCTGGCGCGAATACCACGGATTCGGCGTTTTTTTTAAATAATATTTTGTTTTCAGGACTGGTATTAGATCTCGGCATCACGGCCACATAAAGACGTAAAATCACCTACACTGTGTTGGCCAAGGCACCGTCTACGAATCAGGAATCTACCCCAATACTCTAGGACCCGCTGAGACGTCTACGCTGTCAGTGCCAGTGCTCGTCTATTGGCCCGCCCCTCAGCACACACCCTTAGAATGGTATGCATGCATTGTTTCTGAATATCGTGTGCCTGCACATAGTAGGAACTACATCGCATCATCCCAGGTGATCTGACTCGCAACAATAATTAGGTAGCTACCCTGCAGATGCACATGTGTCTTTCTTAAGCTCATGTATGAGCTTGACAAATACTTATTATCCCCTAGGACATTCTAAATACAAAGACTAACTTCGCGAGGGCCATTTCTAACGCATTCTGAGTCTGATGGCGCTCTCGCCCAGGTATGAATTTATTTAGCAAGTTTGTCACCCGAGACTAAAACATTCAGTGCTGGTTAGGTTGTGGTCCTCCTTTCTCCATCTCAGCATCATCTTTCCTTTAGTATGAATCACCTGTGCTCACTTTGAACATTGTCGTGTAGCCAAAGTCAACCCGCCCAGCATCAGTGCCTCCAAAGCGACCTTTTCAAGGAACATATGGAGCGAAGCATTCTCTCCCAGTCTGTAACGCAAACTGCATAACATACAGTGTAATTAAGTCCTAATCATGTCTGCTGTAATGTGGGGCTGCTCATTTCTTGCCATGACATGGCACATAAGCCCGCATTAGAAAGGGTGGATCGATCCCCTGCAGCGCGGCGTTGATGACGACTCACTGACGGCGCGATGCAGGAGAATCGATGCGTCTACAGCCGGGCCGTGAGGGCCAAGCCCTGACAACCGGAGACTCGCCGCAGGGAAAACATCTGCCACCTGTCTCCGCCCGCCAGCCCAGCCCAGACAGATCCCGGGACGTGCCCGCACACGGAACACCCGGCAGCCGCAGCCAGGCTGCTGCC